GCTGATCATCAAAATACATCGTAGAATCCTTGAATCTCTTATACCACATACACTGCATGGTATTAAAATAGAGCTTTCTTTTGTTGATCATCAAAATACGTTGTAAAATCCTTGAATTGTATTAGCTCTATATTTGAATACTGTGTAATGCTTGTGGCATGAGAGTGAGCAGGTAAATTATCATATAAAACCTACTTTGAATCTCTTATGCCACATGCATTGCACAGAATTAAAATAGAGCTTTTATCTTTGTTTTTTTTTCCCACTGTTGATAATGCAGGAGAGACCTCTGGCCTGGGGCAATTTATAGCCAATGGGACTGCCAACTACTACCCAGCCTTTCCTCAAATGCCCAATTCTAAAATGGGGAAGTTTTTTGCTATTTATGGTTAAGAATCCCGGAGAACAGTATTTTTTGCAACTAAATAAATGTGTCAATAAACCTGCATGCATGGCACCAGCTGGTTCTGAGGAAATATGCTAGAAAATATTTAATCATTTTGCTATTTATAATTTTCAAAAATGGAAGGTAATCTACTCATGAATTGTCTGTCATTTTACACTGATTTGATTATAGGAATTAATTATTCATGGTTTTTGAGTGCAAAAATGACAAGAACAATATATAATACAACTTCAAAAAATATTATTCTAGGATAGAAATGATGGGTTTTAGGGACATGTTACATTGTACTTCAGAATCTTAAACATTCTTTCACCAACTATTTGATGAATGAATGATGGAGATTAATAGATTGAATTGCAATTAACTACTTTATTAGTACTTTTAAAAGATTTTACTAACTGCATTAACATCTCGAAAGAAAGGAAATAAAATTAATATGTTTTTATTAACAGAATTAACGATTATAACGGAAAAAATAAATATATACTAAAATTTAAATAAAAATACATGGATAAATAAATGGAACTAATTAATTTGAAAATTATTGCATATAAAGTTAATATCTAGTCTTCTAACTCATAAACATATAGACAAATCATTTCAACATTAAAACATTAGTTAGTTTTGAAACAAATTTGAGTGTGACATATAAAAGACTATATGGTTGAGAAGCTGGCCAATAATCACTGGTTTGATTTTATATATTTATAACATATTTGGATTAGTTTTTATTTTCAGTTTTTTATCACTTTATCATATCACGTTATTCGTAATTTTTTCAGACTCAGCTTTCTCAAGCAAGGCTAGTTTCTGCAGTGTTGCCAGCATATCTTTCATTGTCTTCTCTTCTCCTTCAAGCTGGATTTTCATTATCATCTCAACATCCTGGTCTAATGGTTTGAAATACTCATAAATATGGCAGCTTCCTGAACGTAAACAATTTCGTTATTAAGAACGAAAATCATTTGAAATAGACATATAAGGAAAACAAAAATGCCTCAGAATTCAGAAACTACCAGTGGAATGATTCCCATCATGATATGTGCCTCAGTGAAAAATCACTTAAGCAGTATTTTGACAAAAGTGACCATTAGATTTTTTATGGGAGGTTTGAATATTTTGAGTTGATCAAAGTCTGAAAGTAGGGATCTGAGCCTTGAAATGGAAGGGCACATGACCAAGAAAGGAACACATAATCTAATAACTTGAGTCTTTATTGGATTTTAACTTTGATAAAATCAACCATAATGGGTCAAACATATATACAAGAAATTTTATCTTATCGATCTTCAAAATTACAAGCTTACTAACATATATTCTACAAGAAAAATATCACGCAGCAAAAGTGGCATGAACCTCACAAATGGATTTTTTCTATACAACTTGAGCAATGAAAAATCACACAAGTTAAAGCTCTTTGGTTCATTTTCCTCACCGATGAATAGAGGTTATAAATGGCAACACAAAACTTTAAAAAAAAAAAAAAAGGTGATTACAAGAACTTCAAAAATCAACTATATGCAAATTTTGGGCTGCAAAAGCTGTAATTTTGTAGTGCCTTGCTTTCTTGTTCCTGCAGAAATGAAGAGAGAAAAAGACAGTTAACGTTAGGATTTGGGGACAACAAGTTCCATAGATACAATCTGCAGACAATGTCTATTTAAACTTTAGTCTTTAAATCTCAAAATCAAGATAATATAACAGATATAAGTTAAGTTTCCCAACTTGATATGCATATTAGAACTTACCCTTTTCAACTACAAACTTAATGCAGTCACCTCATTGCATAAATAAAGCTTCTTCACCATTCACACAATCTTAAATTTCTGAGAAAAATTCTTTTGAGTTACTTATTTTGGGAAGTAAAAATCATAACATACTCAAAAACTTTGTGATGTTATAGGCGATTAAGAGTAGCTGCAAACAATATATGTTTCCAAGAGGGCAAGGCAGTTGCCATGTTCAATGTCAAAGTTACCATCAAAATATAGATTTAGGTCCATAAGTGCATAGAAGTTAAGGGAAAAAAAAAAAGGAAGTAAAAGAGAAATAAAAGGTGAGTAAAGAAAGTGAAAGACTATTGCAGACGTTTCTCAAGCTACAATCTATAGGTTCGAGTTCTAGATTCTTCATATCCGGAGACTACCCTCAATAGAACAATATTTTTCTTCCAAATTCCCTCAAAATTTCCATTCAATTTCTTGATATCGATATTGATATATATATATATATATATATTTATATTTATATAAACACATAGTACTTTAGAAGGTTGAAATTTCTTTGACAGGAAAAAGGTCCAAATTTCTCTAGATAAAATTTATCAAGAAATTATTCAACCATTAAAAAACAAAACACAAATAGTTCTCTTCTTCTTTTTCAAATTATTTTGTAACCAAAATTAGAAAATATGATCTTGCTGGAATTAAACAATTTTTTTTTTGGCATCTTATGAATTTTACATTTGTAGATTAATGTTCTACAAACATCATCATCATTTTAATAGAATTACAACTAATATTAAATTACATACGTGATAAAATAATCTTTAATTATATTTAAGCATTTGATTCAATGATTGATGTATAATCTTTTACTCAAAGAATTCAGTTTAAATCTTTTTTTTCCAAATCAAATAATAAGAATAATAATCTTAAAATAATAAGATCTATATATTAATTTGAAAAACAAAGATTCAAACCCTACTCTTTAAGTAAGATATCATACACCGACTAATTGAGATAAATGGTCGAGTATAATAAGCTCATATTTGAACACGTTGTAATGGCTGCGGCACGAGGCAAGGTAAAACATTAACCAAAAGATCCTTTTGAATACCTATGCCGCACCCAGCACACAATATTAAAATAGAGCTTTATCTTGCTAATCTTCAAAATACGTCGCAGAATTTTTTTATATTATTAGCTTTGTATTTAAACACTGTGTAATGCTTGTGGCATAAGCACAAGTAGGTAAATTATGCATATAAAACCTACTTTAAATCCCTTATACCACATGCGTTACACAGCATTAAAATAAAGCTTTCTCTTGCTGATTATCAAAATACGTTGTAGAATCCTTGAATGGTATTGACTCTGTATTTGAACATTGTGCAATGCATGCAGTATAAGAGTGAGCAGGTAAATTATGTATATAAAACCTACTTTGAATCCCTTACACCGCATGCACTGCACAATATTAAAATAGAGCTATTTTTTTCTGATCATCAAAATACGTCGTAGAATTTTTAAATGATATTAACTCTGTATTTGAATACTGTGTAATGCTTGTGGCATAAAAGTGAGTAGGTAAATTATCATATTAAACCTACTTTGAATCTCTTATACCACATGCACTACACAGTATTAAAATAGAGTTTTTTTTTTTTTTTTGTTCACTCTTGATAGTGTGCAGGAGAGACCTCTGGCCTGGGGCAATTTATAAGCAATGAGACTGCCAACTACTATCCAGCCTTTCCTTAAATGCCCAATTCTAAAATGGGGAAGTTTTTTGCTATTCATGGTTAAGAATTCCGGAGACCACTATTTTTTGCAACTAAATAAATGTGTCAAACAAAACTGCGTGCATGGCACCAGCTGGTTCTGAGGAAATATGCTAGAAAATATTTAATCATTTTGCTATTTATAATTTTCAAAAAAGGAAGGTAATCTACTCATGAATTGTCTGTCATTCTACACTGATTTGATTTAGGAATTAATGATTCATGGTTTTTTAGTGCAAAAATGATAAGAACAATATATAATACAACTTCACAAAATATTCTTATAGGATAGAAATGATCTTTTGTGGGTTTTAAGGACATGTTATATTGTACTTTAGAATCTTGAACATTTTTCACCAACTATTTGATGAAAGAATGATGGAGATTTATAAATTGGTTTGCAATTAATTACTTTATTAGTACTTATAAAAAACTTTATTAACAAAATTAACATCTCGAAAGAAAAAAATAAAACTAATATCTTTGTATTAACTTAATTAACGGTTCTAACGGAAAAATAAATAAATATTAACTAAAATTTAAATAAATATACATGGATTCATAAATGGAACTAATTGATTTGAAAATTATTGCATACAAAATTAATATTTAGTCTCCTAACTCATAAGCATGCAGACATAACATTTCAACAATTAAACATTAGCTAGTTTTGAAAATGATATATAATATATGGTTGAGAAGCAAATCATTATTTCATTGGTTTGACTCTTATATATATATATATATATATATATATACATATATATACGTGCGGTAATACATGTAAGGATCACTTTATCATATCATATATTATAAAATTAAAATCAATATTTTTGTCTTGTTAAGATTAGCTGGTCCTTAAGCCTTACCATAATAAAATCATGAATACATGAAAAGATATTAGGTATAACACAAAAAACTTAGAATTTAAATTTTAAAATTAAATTTTCAGTGAATTAAGATGCGTAAGTTCAAGGTTATTGGATAAAGAAAAAAAGTTCTTTGATCAACCTTTTCCCTGCCGCAATTGATGCGTAGTTGCATTGGAATGGGCTTTGGAGAACAAATTATTGGATAAGGTTTCTTAAATTCTAACAGTAAGCCTACTTTCCAAATGCCCAAAAGATAAAAGACGGAGTGACCCAAACAAATCAGAAATTGGCCCAAAAAAACTAGACAAACCAGAGTCTTTAGCTTCTTAAACACGCTACTCTCCATTTTCACTCTCTCGCTCCGTTCCATTTCTATCTCCGAAGCTTCTTGTTTCTATTTTTCCTTCATTTTTGTTTGTTTCGCATTTTCCAGGTTTTGTTCTTATGCAATAATTATCCTGTATAACAAATGCAGGTGTTTTTAGGTCTTTTTGAAAGTTGAGAATGAAGATTCTTCGACTACAATCGATGGAGGGGCCAAAAAGGAAACACATTTTTGGCATTTGTTATGTTTCTTATTTGATGATTGCCCTGATGTGTGTTTTTCTAGGGTTATAATTTATTAAGCTTATTTTCTTATGGTTTGATTTTCAAGGAAAAATCAAAACTTTCTTAGGAAGAAAGTTGTCATTTTTCTCATTATTCTTAATATTTTTTATTGGTTTAAGTTGAAATTAATGGGTTTCTTTTTTCTTCAAAGAAATGTAGTTCAATTTAATTTTTGTGATTACAATTGCAATTAATTTAGTAAGATTCTGCTGATATTGCAAGCAAACAAATGACAATTAGGCAGTAAAATTAACTGCTTATTCCGATATCTTTTCAATGAAGTCCTCAAATACTGGTTTAATTTTCAAATAAAGATTGATACTTTCCATTGATATTCCTCTTTTTGTTTTTCCAGATGGGGAGAGTGGCTGCGTTTACTTAACTGTTAAGAAAGGGGCGCATCAATTAAGGAATTGATATTGCCTTATCTATCAGCTTCAAATGTTCATATTAAGGTAACTTTACTACCTACAAGAGTAAGGTAATAGTTTATTACATTTGTTAAAGTGAGTAAAGATTAGTAAAACCATTGAAATCCTCTGTAGTTGTAGAATCATCATACCATGTAATGCATTTGCGGTAGTGGCATTACCTTGTTTGAAATATCACAGGTGTAGGAACAGTCCTGAATTTGGAGCAATCGATTCTTTAATGCAAAGATAGAAGGCTAAGCAATGGAGTCTACATCTGAGGAAACGAAGGAGCCCAGCCAACCAAATCAGGGAACCTTACTGCAGTCAGCTTTTATGGATTCTATAGCATTGCAAGAACAATTTTTTGAACGGTCTCTGCCGAGCCAACAGCTGTGGTCCCAACAGCTTGCTGATGCACAGGAGGCAAGGATAAAAGCAGCCGTTCAGAAGACCACAGAATGTGCGGCCGAAGTTGGTGAAATTTTTAAAGGGGAAAACAATTTTGCATCAGAAGTGAAAACACATGAATTTAACTCAGAAAGGTATGATCCTATGGCTTTAACATATAATTTTTAATATACAAGCAGGAATGTATTGACATATTGTTCAATTAGCTCTCTCTCTAGAGCTCTCACCCCTCATTGCTTGAAGTTAACTATATGAAAGTGTACTTTCGTTTTTGGTTTGTTAGCAATGTGGTGATACTGGTGATTCTGATTGTTGTCAAAATTCCACCTGAAAAAACATGCAACTGTCTAAATCAAACAGACTAAAAAAATGAGCTTGGTATTTAGAGTAAATTTTCTTTCAAAGGTGCCTTAAACCAAAGTCAATAGATTCATTGATTGTTTTAAATCTCATGTGAATTAAGTTTGTAGCATTTTTGCTATATAGTTCTTTGCTACGGAGTTTACAATGGCATTTTACTTTCCCATAACGGATCCAATAAATTTACCTCTAAATTGAAAGGAAAAATGAAGTGTGCCATGCAAACCATGCAAATTGCAGAGTAACTAGTCTCTATTTTCTGATCAAAAGCTTCTGATAGATATTGACCTCAGTATAACCATCATGATATTTTTCTTTTATATGTGCTTTCATTTATTATTCATCAATATGTGCAACTTTTTTTATTCGTTGGGATCTCATTTTGGCTAGGGGCAATAAGGAATGGAAGGCTCAATTACAGCCTCCATCTCAGCAATTTTCAAGATCAAAATCTAGATCTAATCTCTTCCAATATCCAGAAGTTTACAAGAAACATAGGAAGTATTCACCGGGAGATCATGTCAGCAAGTGGGATGTTCGAAATTTCAACTCTTACACCCGTTTTGATCATTACAAGGACCACCATAGATCACATCGCAGAGAGAATGCATGTGATAGTGAGGATAGGAGATTGCATACAGGCAGAAGCCTGAGAAGAAGCTGGAACAGGGAAAGGAGATCTCCATCTAAATCAGAGCCTCGGAGGTACTGCCAGCCTTGGAGGTATTGCCGTGAGGAGTCTCATTCCTCGAGGTCTGGGAGGTTTTGGATGCCAGTCTATTGATAGTAGAAGCAGAAATTATCATAGGGTGTGTAGAAGTCCTGTTGATGACAGTAGAAAGCACGGAGAAAGGAGAGGTGCATCATCCTTAGAGACTGGTAGGAGTCAAAAGAGTAGAGATTTTCTGCTAGACGACCATAATGTTGATCATGTAAACTACATCAATGAGGTCAGTGAGCCTACAGGTACCAGGCAGAGTAAGCAAACCGTGCATGGAAACAGTTTGAATGCAAAAGCACCCTTAGCCTCAGTTTGTGTCAGCGATCTTCAAGATCATCTTCAACCATTGCCTCTTGGCAATATGGCCCATTCAACAAAAACGGGTTGTTGGCCAAGTGTGAAAGTTGGCAATGGACCTGAAAGAATGAGAAAGAGTCAACATGACCTGTATAAGGGGACGAATGCATGCACAAAATTCAGGAAGACTCATAAGACTGACTTAAAGGACATGATTGTGAAGAAAAAGGAACTAGATGAGACCAGCCTTGTAAACAAGGCTAGAGATGCAAAGGAGCTTCTAAATGACCCTACTGAAATAACACGCTATCCTTCATCGGAATGGGGGATCCAAGCAGCAATTAGAGCCAGAGGGAAGAAAGGAACTTGGGAGAAAACACTATATAAGGAATGAGGGAGAAGGATCTGAATATGATAGTGGCTGCGTGGATGCTAAGTTGGAAGCCAGAAAGAAAAGAAGAAAATGAAGAGGCATCTGTGATAGCTTCTAAGTCATTTTTAAGTTTATAATCAGCATTTTGCCATTGATAAAAGCGTTATGTTTTCCAATTTTAGGTAACGTGCAGAGGGTAGATATGATCCGACGAACAGGAGACTTCGGTAAATTTCTTTGGTATTCTCATTACCAAGTACTCCTTAAATCGTACTCCGTTGCATTATATAAACAAACTGTACTAGTAAAAATTCAGTATTTGCTAGAAAGAAAAAATTTTTTGTTATACCATTCGGTGGGGGTTAATGCCAATATGTTATTGGCTATGATTTTTTAGTCAATTAGAACGACTATAGACCATTGGCTTGCTAAAACAGGCATCACCAATTCGCCATAGGGGAAAAAGAATGTACTAAATCATTTGTCGTTGCTTTAATCTGGACAGTTATTGGTCAAAAAAGAAAAAAAAATGTAAGCGGAAATTTGTTTGGCGCAACTTTTAAGTTCCACCGTGAAAAACGTGAAAAGTCGTGGTGTGTTTTAATCAGTGCGTCAATTCCCGCTCAATTGCTAAAAACTGATCAACCATAAAGACTGTGCAACAACGATGTTACAGCAGAAATCGGAGCAAATAGAGAAAGAACCCTTTGACCCACGATTCTCTACGAAGAAATTGGGGTGACAGTAGCTCATGTAACTGAAAGTTGGCCAATGCAGGGGAATGAGGCGTCCGGGGGTGGGCAGGATTAACTTTTGATGTAAGTAGTCCAAGTCCAAAAAGTAGAAGAATATTCAAATAAAATCACAAGATAAAATGGTTAAAATATCACATTAATATTCTGCCATATGCAAATAGGGCGATTAAGAAAATGCAACCATGAGAAAAACAAATATTAACATGTCATTAGTTTGACGAACTTGCCAAACAAAAACCATCAACAGATGCAAAAACAGTAAGACCTATCATTTCCGTACATGGTAATTTACTACAAAAAGCATAAAAACAACTTTGATTTGACAACTTCCTGCATCTTTCCAAGGCAGGTTCGCTGAGCAAACAAACCCTGCTACTGGTTTATGATTTAGTCACTCCTCTTTTTCTTCTTCTTCTCACTTTTCTCAGCTGAATTTTTTAACTGAAACACGTAGGTTTGATGTTAGGACAGATACATAAGAATGAAAAGTAACATAAACTCAGTCGTAAAATAAATTAAAAGAAAATTTTTATCAGTTATTCTAGCTTGACTCACCATGATCATCAGAATGCGGACAAATACAGCAACAAAATCAGTGAAAAGGGTCAAGGCATGCTTCACATAGTCCAGATCGCCCAAGTGTGCCTTCTCGATTATGTCCTGTGTGTCCACTACCATGTAGCCCACAAACACCAAAAGCCCAAAATAGATCTGTCAGATCAATCAAAGACAGATCAAAGACAGATGAATGTCAGTCACAGGCAATAGTAGCTTTTCAAGTACTACAAGAACACAGAATTTTCGATTAATGTTCACACACCTCAAACATTAAGAAGGCTGTTGAACCACCAAAGATAGAGGAGGCAAAATGCAACCACAGAAGCATTGAAACGCCAGATGATAGCAAGCCACCAAGGTAAAGGTACTCTCTGCGCCGAGCTAACATGGCAGCTCCTGAAAAACATGCAAAGGCCAACGCTGTTCCCACAAATGCAGTTACCAAAACACTGTTACAATGGAGAAAAACATCATGAGTTATTCTTTTTCTTTTATTGATCAAGTTTAAAAGAAGAAAAAGCATTTGGAAGTCACCCACCCAATTGAGATTCACAGGACAAGATAATGGTAAAAGTAAAATAGCAATTAACCATAGTCATCCACCACTATGGAAAGGCCCCTAACCTTTAAAAGAGTTGAGGGATTTGAATATCAATTACCGTATTTCATTCATATAAATTTAATATTAGCTTCAAAAGGTAACACAAAATGAATATATTCTAACTTGATTCAAAATCCATGTATTTTCACCACATGGATATATTATTAATAATACAAAATACCCAGTAAAGGGTAAATACCTTGGGTCAATCTGAATGGCCAAGTCAATCAGAGGACCAATTGAAGCCCCTTCAAACACTGCCGACATCATCAGAAGAGAAACCCTCTTTTGCTGTAAAATTTACAATACCACATTAAAAGACGAGTTCTAAACATGCAAAAGAACTATCATTATTTAAGATAAGTCAAGTAAGATTATTACCTCTTGATAAGGAGGGGTAGAGAGAAGCCAAATTATGGTTCCAAAGCATGCAAATGTCGTGAGGTAACCCCCAATGTTCCAAAGGAGATGAAGATAAGCCCCAAAAGCAGAGGCAACCAGTGCACAACATAGGGTCAAATAAACCTGCAAATTAGAAACACTATATTTAGATAATCAAGAAACAAAATCGTAGAACAAAGAATAATTAAATAGATAAATTTGATTTAAAATCAAGGATAAAATGACAATAAGCATTAAAATCACATAAAGATGAGAACTGTACATCTTTTACAGTATCAGAACCAAAGAAAGATTCAATTCAAGAGATCCACCAAAAAAAATCAATTTGCAAAACCCTAGGTTACAAATTAGGGGCATATTCAAAAGAAATGAAATAAACCTGCAAACTAAAAACACTATATTCGGATAATCAAGAAAACAAAATTTGTAAGCAAAAAATAACTAAATAAATAAAATCTGACCAAAAATCGAAGATAAAATCATAAGCATTAGGAACACATAAAGATGATAACTGTATTCTTTTTTATTCTCAAAACCGAAGAAAGATTCAATCCAAGAGATCAAACAATAAAGTCAAGGGACAAATTCAACAAGAATTGACAATTGGCAAAAGATATTACATCATAATTTCTTAAATTTTGGGAAGATTACCCTTTTGAGATGAGTCTGAACATTAGGAGAGATCTGGCGGAAATTCTTGAGAGTATCGTAACTCCAGTTGCTTCTTGATTGAGAATCGAAGAACGAAGAGAACGCGTCCATTGTTAGTTGAGAGAAAAAATGAGAGAAATCGCAAGATAATTTGGAAAGAAAATGATATAAAGCGTCTCGAATTGGATTTTGCCTACGACCTGGATCAGCGTATTTAATGGACCTGGTTCGGATAATTTCTAGGAAATTACTGGATGATTACGTGACTAAAAAGCCCTTCAATTTTACATCTGATAAACGTACGATCATTAAGACATTATACTATACATGAGGGGCAATTGAGGAAATAAAAAGAGAAACGCTCTGGAAGATTCGGGGTTTCATAGGTTGACCAATAGCTTGCCTATGACAAACAGAGAGACCTAAAACATCGCTTTGTCACGAAGGAAAATATCTTCCGCTGCCGCTGAGTCACGTGAACCAATAGAACATTGCCACGTCACTAAAGTTCCGAACTTCATTAATTCGATTTAATTAAAATTAAAAATCATAATTAAAGTGTTCAACAAATTTTTCAATTTTAAGAACGGCGATTAAAGATGGGCTTTTTTCCTGTTGAACTACCACAATCTAGATCCCTCTGGAATTCAAAATATCAGTGCAGAAACCAGTAAAATGAGCCGTCTATCCCTAATTTGAAAAACTGATGAAAAGATTCCGAGCAATGACTGAACCACTGAAACTTTGGGTGAAGTAAATTTCTCGACAACTTGATGCCTTGCGTAGCAGATGGTTCTGATTTGACCCCACGGCAGAGGTTAAAGCATATAAGGAATTTCTCTCTCAAGCACTGATCTTTTTCTTTCTATATTTGGCTGGACCAATTTGTCGATGAAGAGGCATAAAAAGGTTACACGATTAAAACATGTAAGAGGAAATTTTACAGGGGTGGAAATTTGATACATTTACAGCAATAAGAACTGCGGAAAAGATTTCGAACCTCACAGCTGATCAAGCTTTTTGAAGAGAAGCCTTAAAGGATTTGATTATCCTTTCACCCGGCAAAACATTGTTGTTGGTCCCAGAGTCCAAGCTGAGTCGCTGTTTGAAAACCCTTTGCTTTCTCAGGTTTTCATGTATTGAAGCGAAGAATTCATGCTTAAGGGCATCCTCGGCTGTAATCCTTAATCTTGGGTTCACTGTTAAGCACTTGTCCACAAGATCGTAAAGTGAGCTTGGTATCTCCTGGAGGAAGCCTCGTCTCTTCGTATTCATTTGGCACCATTCCCGTAGGTTCATAGATGTCAAAGACTGCTTATCATAGAGCTCCTACAACAGAAATCATTCTCTTCAACACAGGACATCACTATTTACTTTAGAATAGATTATATTTACAGATGTATTATTTATACCTCAGGGAATGAGGATTCACGATTATGTAACTTGGCAACTTCCCAAAGATCTTCACTACCTGTCAGCTTTGCTATATCCTTTATGTTCCTGAAAGTGCCAATGATTTTGGCAACATGAGGCATAAAGTAGAAACTGGATCAAGCGATTTCAATTAAAGCATGAAGTCTTACTGTTCAGGATCACCAAAAAAGGGTGATTTCCCGATCATTAGATAGAGTAGAGTGACCCCAGCAGACCAGACATCAATCTTTGTACCTTGATGTTGAGATCTGAACAAAACCTGTACTAATCGAGAGTGAGCATTAACTTGAGTTCCATTCATTGGAAAAACAATATCAATTATCAAGGAGGGAGCATTATTCGGGGTCTGAAGCTGCAAAAGTTCAATTCACCATATCCTCCAGTTCTTTTAATACCAGAAATCATTTTTCTTACCTTGGTCAAATGGCTAAATTTGGTGTAGGCTATTAATAGTTTTCTTTTGGATAAGTTTTTAGCTTCTCTATGAATTCAACCTATAAGACCACCAGCAGGAAACTCTAAATTATCTAGCTCTCTTTAAGGGTTTTTTTTTTTTTCTTATTTATGTAAAATTAAAAGCTAAACTAAAGTTTATTATTCATTACCTCTGGAGCTCGGAAGCCTTTTGTTCCAGCACAAGGACCTTCTCTCTTATGCTTCCCATCCCCTGCAAGTGAATAAAATTCAATGAATTTACTAAACACAATTGCTCTTTGAAACCAGAACTTCAAATTCTAACAGGAAAACTACTTTCCTTTGTTCTTGGTAAACCCAACTCCAGAAATAGCAACACTAGTTGAGTTCATTGGCATTGGAGTAGGATGAAGAACCTGTCTATCCACTTTTCCAGGAGAAGCAGCAACTCGCTTTCGCATGGGTGAAGGAACATGTGACACTCCATGGTTTGGACTTTGCATTGCTTCCTGTACCAGACTGATGAGCTCTTTCCTACCTTGGCATGGCAAAGGTTCTCTTAGCCTTTCTGCTGAAGGAGTCCTTGCACTTATGTCCTTTGCTGAGGTGATGCCTGAGCCATCTGCACCCTGACTATTGATTTTATTCCAACTACACAAGTCATTATGAGCCTTCCTTTGGCCTGTTGCCTTCTTCATGTTCTTAGGCTCTAAAGTTAACCTGGAGCTTTTTGTTGCCTCTATGTTGATTCTCTCCCTTGATTTGATATTTAAAAACTTGCTGTTATTTGCAGGATGAATGGCTTTGACCGGAACAATATTACGATGAAAACTTACATCATATCCCAACTTTGATTTGTCTGTGAAATGTATAACAATGCCATATCAATTATCAATTAATCATCAGGAGGTAGCGAGGTAGTAAGATCAGGAAACTTTAAAGGCAAAATATTACCATTAAAATGAAAGCAAGAATAATTAACAGGAATGGAACAAACAAGAAACTAAGCATTTGATCACAACATAGAGTCAGCTATATGGATAATAAGGAGGGCTGAGGCATGTCGTTAACATCCTGGTTAAATCCTTATTGAATCTTTATATATACAGAGGAAGTATTAAGAGAACAAAAGCATTTAGGTGATCCTCTTCATTGCTTAAGAGTAAAAAAGTACTAGAGTTTTTCTTCTTTTTAAGAAGGTACTAGGATATACTTAATTACAAGGTGCAGAAAAAGGAACTTACCCATACTCATGTACTTTTGATGCAGATCCTGTCAAAACAGGAGAAAGAACGAAACTATAAACCCTCAAACTAGAGCATGAAAACATTTGAAGAAAACATGCGATGTCCAATCATAGAATGATGTAAGGTTAGCACTACTTACTATGGCAAGATTGAAATCAATAAGATAACCTTTGTTGGTCTTACGACTGAAAAGAAAGTTTCCAGGCTTAACATCTCTATGAACTACTCCCTGCATATATATAAAGAGTTATTAAGAACATGTTATTTTGTAGAATAGACGCATCACATCTAGAAAATGGCATACCTGTTTATGAAGATTTGTAAGAGCTTTGAACAAGCAATAAGCATACCACTGTAACTGAAAAACATCAATTTCTTTTTTCAACACCTGCACAATGAAACAAACTCACCATCAAGCATAAGAACAAACAAAATATGGCTATTAAAATTCTAATAATTACCTCAGGTCTATCATGCTCAACATACTGTAGAACAAAGCAATCAGAATTCACACTCTTAACGCATCCTTCATATCTTATTACAAAGTTTCTACCCCTGAAATTGACAAAAAGAAAATATAAAGGCTTGGGGAGGGAGGAAGAAGAGCTTAGTAATAACTTCTTCACTTTTATAAACAAAGAAATTTTTCTTAAGTGAAACAGATTTTCTCTAAAATGCTTACCCAAAACGCTCCAGCATTTTCAACTCATTGCTAACATAGTTCTTATGAGCATTGGCATGAGGACCTGCAATGAGATAAATAAGTAAAATATAACATCAAGGGAATGCCCAATATGTGCAATACAATAACAGTCCTCATTGCAGCACAACAATGCAACTGCATGTTATATAAAATTTGCCTCCTACATTTGATGGCAACTAAAGCTCCATCATTCTTCCTTCTTGCCTTGTATACAGTGCCATAACCACCTGCCAATTAGAGTTTCAACTTAGCCAATCAACAAATGGTCATAGTGAAAAGCAGACTAACAGTGATTTGATATGCAAGCAAGATATAATCAAAGCTAGGTACCTGAACCTTCTTCCTCTTCTACAATATAAGATTCAAAGTCTGGCAGTTCTTTTGGTTTTGCCTGATCCTAAAGCAAGCATACATAGCTCTTTAATTTATAATTAAAGTAATGCACAACAGCCAAATTCAGGCTCATAAATAGATTCCCTCTTACAAAAAAAAATAAACAATAGAACAACCTACATGGGACAGCAAAACTACAAATGGAGAAGTGAGCTTACCTGAGAAGAAATGGTGGTAGAATTTCCCCTTCTTTCTTTAACATATATATCCTTATGGTTCTGCGTTGATTTATGTACAGCATGGACTGATAAATGATCTCTTTCACCATGCTGCTTCCTTTTGTAAGTATTAACAACCTTGGTAAGCCCTAAAGACTTGCCAGGTGTTTGCGATATTGGAGCCATCGTATACCTCTGATTAATATTTTCCTTCTGAGAAGGTTCTGACGGCTGCTCCCTGGGAACAGAGAGCTTGGTAATGGAACGTATAACACCAGCACCTGCTGCTACAAGGGGGTGTTCCTCACCTAGAGATGGCATGTTATGATTGCAGTCATCCTCACCAAGCCTTTTCAAATCTCTTTCAGGTGGTATATTGGGAAGGCTAATGTTGAACAAAGGAGAAAAATCCACTACTCTTTTTATTTTACTTGCAAAATCGAGTTTCTCCTTTTTCTTGCTGCCCTCAACAGTCACTTCATTGTCTGCAATTCTAAAATTTGTTGTGGTACAATCCACATAAACTTTTCCACCCACCACTAGTGATATATTTCTCTGCTCATCACATTCCCGAGAGCAAATAGGATTGATTTTATAGGCCTTGAAGTCTATCTCATGATCTAGTTTTCCAGTTGGAACGGTTGGATCTGGTTCAGGCTCACTAGCAGCCAATCCTTTGCTGACATTTCTCCTTGCATAGTCTCCCAAATTCATTTCTCTTTCTACATTTTCAATGCCCTTCACTTTATCACTTAACTGTCTAGCACTTGATTCGGCTAACAAACAGGGGTTGGGCACAATTTTATTTACCAAGAAAGGCAGATTTCTCAGTTCTACAATTCTGCTGATACCATCAGTTGGATGGTAATGTACCTAAAAATTTTTTAGTAGTAAGTCTTTTGATACCGTAACTCTGAAAGTGGACAATTACTAAAAACAGATTTGCTTAATGGCATTTACAAGATCTACAGTCATCAGCATACACTAAAGTACAGCCAAATTGAGCTAACAGATACTAATAAATAGCAAATTAATGGAGTTTTTCTATAGATCTATTGTCTATGATTAGCTCAAACGAATACCTTTGTACAATAATTTCGAGTTCTCTTTAACGACACCAACTCCTTCTCCTCCTCATCATCTGCAAAATCTGCTACTGAAAAATCACTTAAACGTCAACCAAAAACATGAAAACAAAATTATAGCCAAAAAAGTCATGTTTCTTTTCGAATTACCGTCTCGCTTCCTCTTGCCAAGCCATATCTTTGGGGAACGACCGAATCGAATGTGCTGCGACGTGAAAGCATCGGCAACAGCGAAATTTCGGGCGAAGTAAGTGGCGAAAAAAGAGAGGCCTATTGAAGAGATAGCGACGAAATGCTTGTCGTTTGAGAGAGTGATTGGAGAGTTTGGGATGCGACAGAGGGAGGAGATGAGAGCGGGGCTTGTCGGGAAGAGAGTGCACTGAGAAGCGAGGTCCGGCAGAGGGATGGGCTTGCCGACGAAGACTAGAAGAGAAAATATGTGCCAGGCCTTTTGTGACTCGGTGGCCGAGAGGCTTTGTGACTCAGTGAGTTGTTCCGAGTTACATTTCATGACGATTATGGATATAGAGAGAGAAGAGAGAAGCAGGATCCGATAGAGAGAAAGAGAGATGTTAGGGTTTGAAAATGGAGGAATTTTTACGGAAAATTTTGGGATGGTACTGAAATAGGCGGGAATCAGGCACGTGATGGGATTTTAAGATTTAGCACGCACGAGTTTTCCCGCCAGTGTTTTTGATAACTTGAACGTGTGTAAGGTGAATTTACTCCCTTGTTCGCCGTCCAAATTTTTTATTTTATTTTAATTTATTTTTCGTTAAAATACTATATAAACTCCCTGAACAATTTTATATTTTCATCATTATATTAAAAAAGATAAGCTTTAATCTATAATTATTTGTATACCTAAATAAACCTTTATGCTAATAGAAAAATGTCATGCAACACGCTGCAGTAGTATTAGATGGTAATTCAGGGGACAAGTTAAAATAAGAAACTATTTACTGAATCAGTATTGCAGTAATTATAGTAAGAATGAAACCACATTCGGAAAAAACCAGGTGATCAAAGACATAATATGGCGAAGATCAAATGTACAGAAAGGAAAGGAAGTGAGCAGACTCTCCATCCAACAAACATTAGACATTCATTATACAATGAAGTGAACAAAATTAGTGGTTTCCACACTTATAAACCGCATCTATTATTCCGTCGATGGTGAAGACAAGGAAAGATTCAACAGAAAGCCAACCATTATGCCTATCAATCCCACAAAGGATGCAAATGTGAAGGAGAAGCCGGTGTCATTCCTACGTTGTCTTCGTCTCTTCAGAAAATCCTGTTTGAGGAAAACAAGATTGTTTACATTTCGATCATGGCGGTTCTGAGTTGTAAGACCGTACATCAGAACATAAACATGGATATACATACACACAAAAACAAAACTATAATTAGGAAGTAAGACCAAAAAATCTGAAGTAAAAGCATACCAGTTCCTGTTGCAGCTGCAGTGTTTGCCGAACTGCTGCATCTCTTTCTTCCTTCAGCTGCCGCACCGCCTGATTCATGAATGCAGAAAGGAAATTTAAAAATGAAGACTGTAGAAATTAGATTCTGGGTTTGCATTTTCAAGTTAGCTTCACCGGAAAATATAATTAAATAAAAGGCAAGATGGCAAGCATATAACAATGAAATACTGCAAATGCAAGATAACAAGATGATTTGCAATAGCTAACTGAATTTTTTAAGAAAAGAAAAAAAACAAAGGTCCTTAATCCCACAATAAGCAGGTCATAGACAAGAAATAGCTTACAATAAGCAAATATAAATCAGACAAGAACAAAGGAAATGAGTATGCACTGCTCATATTGACATGTACACATCATTCAAGTTGCAAAATCCATTAGCAAACTCCAGATAACTGATCAAAAGGTTTTAATGCATGCATATTTTTCCCTTTGGTCACAAGGCAAATGAATGATATTGTTATATAAGAAAACTAGAGTAACATTATAAGCATGAGAAAACTAGAAATAGTAATATTATAAAAGCAAAACCAGCAGTATTTTGGCCTTGAACTTAATTGATATAAAAAACAAAAATAAAAACGAAGAGATTAGGAGGAGAGCTTTCAGTTGCCCGCATCAATACTGATTTCAACACCTATTCCAATTGTATGATCAAAGGTATGAATTGAACCTTTACTCAAAACCTCAAAGCACGCATGTGTATATGTGTTGTGAGGTTAAGCATTTGCAACATATATATTCTATAAAACAAAACACATACACCCCACCCCAACAAAAAAAGCTGATCACCGACTAGACTCACAGAGTTTAAATCAGGGCTTTGTTCTGTGGAGCTCTTTAATCCTTCATCTTCTGAATTCCCTTGAGCAGAAGGAGATTCATAGAAAACTTTAAGCTTGCACTCCTCTATCTCCTTAGCACTTTCCTTATTGAACTGGATGCAAATACAAAGATCACATTCCAAAATTCAAATTTGCTTTTAAACAATGTAATAAAGTTAGTCAAATGAACACATTATTCTCCATGTCAGCAGTCTTACAGTATCTGCTGGTAGGTCATCCACATCAGTATTTGGAGCAACTATAGTACTCTGTAGCAGAAATTTGTCTTTGCATTGCATATCTGGAGGATATTCCCGCTGGGCTTGGAGAGTGACTGCTATTCAAGCAGGTCAATGAAATCAGTATCATACATATGAGATTCTCAACTAACAGAGAAAAGTAATGAAGCGGGCTAGGCAAGTGACTTTATGATCAGAAACGGCCATCATGAATTGCTTACTTTACAAGAAATGAAATGGTCTTCGGAAAGATAAGATTACAAGTAATACCTCTGATGACACATGAGTCCCAAGGCTGCACAACACCAGTGTTTGGTCGAACAAAGTATTTCTTAGGTGACGTTGTTTTAACCTAACATGGTAATAAGTTGGGAACGTTAAAATCAAACAATCATGGAGAATTACAGATGACAAGACATTCATATACATTTGCAACAGTAACAGAAACATAACCTTAAACGCCACATGGTGTTCTGTGTTGTTCACCACTTTAAGATCACAAAAACTTTGCTTTTCCAGCTCAACTGAAAACATGAATCACATGACCAAAAGTCATCTAAAAACTTGTTTAACAAAAATTTTCAAGAATAAAAATATACCAATGAAAATGAGCATAATGACATCTAAGAAGGACCTAGCATTACAAAGAAAGCAGTTCCCGAAGCAGAAATTAAGGCAACTAAACATTGACGACATGTTACAAACCATAAAGAAACTAAAAAGGAAAATTCCTAAACAACTTTTCTTCTCCCTGCATCTTCTAAAGAACAATATGTCAACCTTCCATTGCCCATCATTTATACAAGTTCTAGTAGGAAGGGAAGCTGAATCTGTCAGTGCTAGCATTCCAAAAACACCGCCAATGATTGCCAATTACAGGTCAAAACACCCCACCGAAGTCAATAATTCAAAACAGATGAACTAAAAACAATCAACAAACAAATTACTATATTCTCTGCAATTCGAACTCCATAAACTTCATAAATAATCATCTATAATGCATCCCTCCAAGTTACCACCTGAAATTCAACACAATACCAACCCTTTGCACTACTATTTTCCTTTTCCAAGTCCATCACATCACATAACCCATAGACTTGAATCAGGAACTTTCACATACATACGTCATAATTCACATGCATGCATGCAAGTACAAACATGAATAAAGTGGAACTTACAAATGAACTTGAGGTCATTGGGATGAACAGAAATCAACTGATTACCCTCACCAGCAGTCATGATTGGGGCCCCTACCTCCACTGCCACCACTATATCTTTACTCTCGTAGAAAAACTTCAATCAAAGCCACCCACAACAGTCTTTCACAAACTTAAAAAAAAACCAGAGCAAAATAATAATAAATCAACAAACAGAACCCTCAAAAGCTTTGAAAAAAACAACTCTGCAATGGAGTTTCTATTTTTATTTTTTCAAAGAGAGAGAAATTTAGTTAATATTAATCACCGGGACTAACATGTGGTCCAAACAGCAACTGGCTCGGTCCAAATCCAAGGTTGGTTTCTCTTTTTTCTTTGGTGTGGGAAATGGAGTCACCGAATTAGCCGCCACCAAAGTCGGAGTTTCTGGTCCGAATTAAGATTTAATTTGTATTCTCTTTTTTCTTTTACTTAATAAAAGAGAAAAAGAAATGGAAGGAATGTTGTTTGGAGCTTTCGTGAACCGTCTGTTGCTGGTAACGGGAGAAGCAGAGAAAGGTTATATCAGAGAACGAGAGAGAGAGGAAGGAATGGATGTTGACACGTGTCAATTTAACAGGAAGATAAAGTCCTGTTCTAAAGTAACAGCCTGGAAGTGGGCCCGTCATTTTTTTCATTATTCTAAATCTTTTTCATTAATTTCTAGGTGTTGTCTTCCACAACCCAACTCAAATCATAATACACATTTTTTTTTTCTTTTTTAATGTTTTTTTGTTCATTGCAGAGGAATGTAAGAAATGAAAATTTGTTTACATATTTTCAAAAGAAAAAAAAATGTAATTACAATTTCATTTTTATGAATTTTGAGAAGCTTTTATGTCACATAAAATTTTAGTGGCTGAGTTTAATTTAAGGATATATAAAATGAGGATCAAAGTGTGGGACCTCTTAATTATTGAAAGTATCCCTTAGCACTTAGAAGAAAGTAGTTTGGTTGCATGTTTTGACAAGAAAATTAATGCAACTTCATCCATATATATCTTAACTAGTGAATGATTTCAAGAAAAAAAAAAAAACCCCATATCAAACTACACTCCATGATTGAAGGTTGAATAGGATAATCAAAAGAAAAGATGCATATAGTTCCCAATGTATCAAATATTTTGTTTATTGTTGATAATTTGTTTATAAATGATTTATAAAATTAATATATATTTTAAAATTTACTCAAATTTATTATAAAAAATTAAATTTAATCATTTTCATTTGTATCTTTAATCTTAGATACAGAGAAAATTATATGAGGTATTGAAATATTAAATTAAACATTTTAAAAATGTAAATTAAACATTTTAAAAATGTGAAAGTAAAGTAATCCAAGTATGATATACCGGTTAACATCTCATTCTTTTGAATATTTAATAAACTTAGATATATATATTTGAATTTATTTTTATATTACTGCTTTCACATTAATTTTTCTGAGTATAAGAACCAATAACATGAATTCTTATAACATGACCAAGGCATTACCATGGATGAAGTCATGAACATGTTGTTAGGTTGATAACATTCACACGAATTCATGAAGTGGGAGAAAGTGATTTGCTCTTTGCTTAGACCGGAAACTCATTTTTGTATTCAAGAAACTTGCCGTGTATTAAAACAATTAATTACTTGTCCCTTAATTATGAGACCTGACATAATAATGATATATAAAATGGGATATGGGGTGCATTATTAAGCACCCTTTTATTACTTTATTTGTTATATAACGCAGGACCACACCAAATTAAACACATCTACATCAAAATATATTAAATCCGATAATGACGAATATCTATTTATTTATTATTAATTACCATTCTTATCCTCGTATCTTAGCTTGGAGAGAACAGAATATTTTAATTTTATTTAAAATTTACAGAAATGGACCTGATTTTGACAATAACTTAAAAGGCAAGTAAAATATGTCTTTAGAACTCCCTGTTTCTTTAAAGTTGCTTCAAATTCCCTTATATTGATTATTCTCAAACTAACTTTGGCCATAAGGCACTTCAAAAACGGGAAATGGCAAAGCTTCATCGCAAAGAAACTTTATCAGCAAAAGAAAAAGGCTGATACATAAAGTGGGAGAGGAGTTTACATGTTGCAATTAAGATTATTCTGGTTTCCTCTGATAAATAAAGAAGCATTGTTTGAAAGCTAGAAAATTGCATTAACAAATAACAGATTGAAATGATCAAGTAGATTACTGAGGATTGAATTTAGTCTTTCCCAAAATCAAATCAATGCTGACAATAAATTTTACACCAAAAGGAAAGGGGATGGATTCATAGAATTGGAGATCTTACAATATCTATGCAATTGAGGAACTGATAGGAATTTGGGGGAGAAAAACCAGAGTGAAGGCATTACTGTCTTTCATTTGAAAGTTGACAGCCTGGGAAGCTTTTCTCTTAGATAATACAGCCTCGCCCTCCTGACTTTCCTGTGTTTGACTACTTTAATTTCCTTAATGCTCGGCGAGTAACTGAAAGTACAACCAAGAAAGCATGGATCAGGAAACATATTCAATAGACTTCAGAAAAGTTTCTGCAGTGTATCAGCACAGTCATCATCAAACTCCAGGATGCAGCATCAAGCTAAGGTACTAGTTACACAACTCTATATTCAAGTTCCAATTTGTTACAGATTTGAATATCATGTTGCAGCTCGTAAAAACATAGAAAGTTTAAGCAAAAGATAAATTCAAGAAATTCAACTTCTGTTGTTTTCCAACGATGATAAACTTCACCTAAGACCACAAAGCAACAGAAATCACAAGAAGCCTGATAATCATGAATAATTGCGTAGCTTCATGGACTGTGGACTAAAGCATAAAAAGTAAATAATCAAAGCTTGCAGAAATCCTTCGACAAAAGGAGATGAAACAATGGCAATTACACATATGAACCCTGAAGAAAATCCTTATAGTAACTAGTAAGATGGTTAGTTCTATATAATACACAAAAACCAAGACTTTAGCCAAGTTTGTTGAGACAAATTTGAGACTGCATTGTCTGTCTCCTTAGAGTTAGAAGTAATTGATACATGCTAACCTCACTTTGTAATTTGATGATTAGCATGATGAAACGAGAAGGTAAAATCGTCATAGTAATAGGTATGGTATATGCAACAACAAATGTAAGTTTCACATATGCTATGGAAGGTCAATCATCTTAAAATCACAAAGAAATCTGGGACAACAATGAATCATACCAGGCACTATATAAAAGTCACTGCAATAGAAATTAATAAGCATGTACATCATTAAGATTTCAATTTTGCAAATCAATCTATGTTCTTATTTATTTTCATGAATTGGATAATTCAAGAAGATTATGTTCAAATCTAGCTTCCCAATTTCTCTTTCCCAGATTAGAGATTCTACATTAGTTAGTTAATTAGGCAGAATAATTGAACCACCAATATGCTTAATCCAAATGAAGGAAATGGTCTTACAGTCATCATTACAATTAGGCATAATAATAAAAGAAATACTTACATAGGGAATACAATCTCAACTCCAATGCCAGCAATAATTCTCCGAATTCGAATGGTGGTGTGGATACCAGCATTTTGCTTTGATATGACTATACCTTTGTACACAGCCAGCCTACGTCTGTTTACAGGAACTTGCTGCAAGTCAACCACAAAAAGGAAATATAAAAATAACAACTAAATCATATTAAAAAAATCCAGTGGGAAGAATGAGAAATGCGAATCACCAATTTAATCTCTACAATATCACCAGTCCTAAGATCTGGAATTGGCCTTTCCTTCTCTGATGCTTCAATTGCTCTTTTATTCAATATCTACTCAGAAAAAATAGCAATCATGTCATCAAATTAAATAGAAAATTAATCAGTCACAAATCTTCAAAAAGATTCTCAAAGCAGTAGATCAAAGTTAAGCTCTTTTATTGAACAATTCAACCCAACTACTCAAAATTAGGTGAAAGGTTCTCTCTTTACTAAACAATTCAACTTTTTCAACTCCTAAACCAACTCAAAATGATAAAAAAAAATGCAAAGCCGAGTTTCGAATTTTCTTCTCAATTTCTATATGAGTGAATAAATCGATAAACTATCACCAGTAACATTAAAAGATTAACCAAATTACCCCCATAATATCGCCAAGCTTAACCCGGGGTTTTCTTGGCTCCTTGGGTTTCTCTTCAACCTCATCTTCTCCTTCCTCTCCTGCTTCAACTTCTTCTTCAGCTTCTGCTTTCGTTTCGGTTTCTTCAACATCAATTTCATTTGCTTCAACTTCAGCTTCACCTTCAGGATTAGACTCAGCTCTCACAACAATTTCCCTTCTAGCAAAACATCTGAAATTCGACCCAACAGGGGTCTTCAAATGAAATCCAGAAACTGAAACCTTGGAAGCCGTTAACGGAGAAGGACCACGAGACAGAAATGCTGAGAACCCAAGATTCTTTACTGGATTAAATGACTGTACTTGGTTTCTTGGGATCATATGCAGTGCCTATAAATAATCAAAATTGAATGCAAATGCAAATCCTTACTTGAAAATAAATGAAAGAAAGTAAGCAAAAAGAAGATGAGGTAAGGGTTACCTGAGGAAGAACTTGGGAGGCCATGGCGCTACTGTGGAGCCTCAGTTGGTAGACAATGTGCCTTATCCGTTTTCGAGAATTGATGGGGAGACACTTGAGATAGGGTTCTGTAACGGGTCGGGTCGGCTTGGTTTTTTACACCCATTTCTCCAACCTTTTATTATTATTGATTAATGATGCAAGTAAAACTGACCCCTTTCTTTAGAGAAAAAAAAAAGATAAAGTAAGGAAAAAATATAATACTTTTTTGAGTAAAATAAAATAACCCAAATTTTATTGATAAAGAAATGAATCCAAAATTTGCATTTAAAATGTTTATTACATAAGCTATTTTAGCGGTTTTAGCCTATTGCTGAAGTACTTCAATAGTTCTTCCTGTTTAGCAACGTGGCAATCACCTAGCCTTCTGCGAATTCTCTCTTTGCTTTGAGCCACGGTTAATCTATCACTACCCTGATCGCCTACGTGGCGGTTAGATACATATGTTTCCAGTTGAAGCTCCAAACAAGTATGGTTTGTCTCCAGTTTTAATACAAACTCTCGTCTCCTTTGCCTGTGTCCCGCCAACCTCGCTCTCCCTCACACTATTCTCTGTCTTCCCCTAAAAAAAAGCAATTCTCTCTCTCTCTCTCCTCAGAGCAAGAACCAGTTAAAAAGTTCTGTTTGTATGAATCAAGGTTAGCTATCATATTACATTATTAAAGGGTTTGTTTTTGTGAGGTAAAGTTATTGTTTTTATGTACAATATCAGGCTAATCACATTGTGTTTTTGTAATGGACGTTTCGCCTTTTAAGGATGTTTTGAACACGGCGTTTTTATGATTATGATTATGAAAGATTTTTTGTAGTAAAAAGCTGGCTTTTTGTTGGTTTTGAATAGTTAAATTTGTGTGTTTGTGAAAGATGTCAAGGAATTCAGATACAATGAGGAAAATCCCACCTGGGATTTTGCTTATCAGAAGTATTAGAGGTAAAGATTGGAGCCTAAAATCATTTAGATACATGGTTTTGTTGATTACCTTCATAGCATATGCTAGTTATCATGCCTCTAGGAAGCCTAGTAGCATAGTTAAGAGCGTTTTGGATCCTGACCCCATGAAAGCTTCTGAGCGAAACCCTTGGCCTGTTGGAAATGTCTTCATCAAGGAAGATTTTGTGAGTTTTGATAGAAATAGAACGAAAAACAAGGGTTGGTATCCTTTTAATGGAATTGATGGTACATGGAAATTGGGTGAAATTGATGTTGCTTTTCTGGCTTGTTACTCTTTGGGAATGTATGTTTCGGGGCATTTAGGTGATACTTTAGATCTTAGGTTGTTCTTGACAGCTGGGATGATTGCGAGTGGTATTTTTGTGGGGCTGTTTGGGATGGGATACTTTTGGAACATTCATGCCTTTTCGTTTTACCTTGCGATGCAAATGGTTGCTGGGTTATTTGAAGCTACTGGTTGGCCTTCGGTTGTCGCTGTGATGGGAAATTGGTTTGGGAAAAGGAAGAGGGGTTTGATAATGGGTGTTTGGAATGCGCATACTTCAGTTGGGAATATTAGTGGATCTCTTCTTGCTGCTGCTGTTTTAGACAGTGGTTGGGGATGGTCTTTTATTGTCCCAGGAGCATTAATTGCTTCATCAGGGGTACTAGTTTATTTGTTCCTGCCTGCTTATCCAGAGGATATTGGTTTTGATGGTGCAAATGCTTCATCAGCGAAGCTGGATTTGATGCCTTATGATGAGGAGGCTCAAATTCAAAAGGGAACTACAGTGGATTTAGAAAAAAATTATAGTCTCCAACAAGGGTCAGGAAGCAGGAAAGGTATTGGACTTTTTGAAGCCTGTTCGATACCAGGGGTGATTTCATATGCATTATGCCTCTTCTTCTCAAAGCTCGTGGCCTACACATTTTTATATTGGTTACCGTTTTATTTGAGTCAGACAGGTATTTTTCTTGTTTTCAAGCTTTGCATACTGCTTGATTGACAAGCAACTCAGAGCCTAATAGGCATCTATTTTCTCAAATATCTTCTTATCTTAGTTGATGAATCTACTGTACTGTAGACTGAGTGACAAGATTAGAATGAATTGCAAATTTAGAAATGATTAAGCATACGCTAGCTTTAGTTAGGAATGAAAATCAATCTAGAATCAGATGTTACTTTTGGTATGAAAAGCTGTATAGGGTATTTGGAAGTGCAAAATGAGCTCGAATAGATTTTCCTTATTTGAGACCTCTGCATATATGATTGATTTGGTGTCAAAGTTTTTCCTGTTGACTCTAAATGGATTCCCGTCAATATACAGATGTAAAATTGATAAATAGGTAAAGTATCTAATTTCTCTGTTATTCTACCCTTTGATGTAGCATCCAAGATAAGTTTATCTTTTGACTACACATTCTAGGGGAACAGTATACTTGGTATTCATCCTTAAGTATAACTCCTGTGAATTTGAAGTAGGTTTGCTGTTCTTTCTAATTTTACATACTGTATAATTCTTTGTTTTCCCTTTGGTTTCTTTCTTTTAAATAAATAAAGATACAAAATGCATTAATCATTTATAAAATCAGGAATATGCAGTTGGTTGAAGTCCTCTCAGTTAACAATTGGGTCTCTCATTGAGTTTATATATATATATATATATATTTCACTTATCTATTCTTTGTTTTCCTGACACCTATTTGTTGCTGGAGCATGGGATTCTATTAAAGATGCAGATCACTGTCTTAATATTCAGCACCATAATCCAGCTGCTTTGAAATAGCAGTAAAGATATTGAGCCTTTTTTTGTTTTTTGGTGGATTCAATTCCTGAAGAGATTTATTTCCTATTTTCCCAGACCTGTATGAACCTGCTATCTTGTAGAGTCTGAGACAAATGTTTTTCCCATCTGTTTGATTCCATTGTTTTGCAGAAATTGGTGGGGAGTATGTGTCTGTGAAATCTGCTGGAAATCTTTCTACGTTGTTTGATGTAGGGGGTATGTTTGGAGGGATCCTTGCTGGCTACATATCTGATAAACTTAATGCCCGGGCTACTACAGCAGCCAGCTTCATGTCTGCTGCAATACCTTCCATGCTCTTGTACCGCGCATATGGAAATATATCACGTACCATCAACATTTTACTTATGATGATTGCTGGCTTGTTTGTAAATGGGCCATACGCGCTTATCACAACTGCAGTTTCTGCAGACCTTGGTACACACAGTTCTCTCAGAGGGGATTCTCGGGCATTGGCAACAGTGACTGCCATAATTGATGGCACTGGATCAGTTGGTGCTGCTCTTGGCCCTCTTCTCACTGGGTTTCTCTCGACAAAGGGATGGGATGCTGTTTTCATAATGCTAATGGTTGGAGCACTTATTGCAACACTTCTTTTATCACGTTTGGTCATAGCTGAAATTAGTGAGAAAAATCAAAAACCAACTCCATCATCCCATAGACAGGAAACTTTTGAAGGTAATTTGATAAAAATTTTATTGCACCGATCATGCATGCAAGTTGCAAACTAAGTATTACAATTGAATTTCCCTAAAATTAAGTCTAGCCACCTGCTCCTTAGTAGGATTTGAGTGTGAAATGCTATCCTTTAATTCATCTTTACAAAATTTGAACTTACTAAATTCATTTCCAAAAAAAAGTGCTAAAAGAATTTTTTTGGATAAAATAATATATTTGATAAACGATTGGTCATATAGTCGTGGTTATATAGATACGTTTTATTCAATATTCTTAAGTAAAATTTGTTTTGTGATTTCCAAGACTACCAGGGAGATAATAAAGAAACTTATGCACTTTCCAACAGGTAATTCTTGTGTATTATATCTGGAATTTCTGTTTTGGAAGATAATATGTGGGAAAAGTTAATCTGTATTTGGTTCAAAGTCTGTTATATTTCATGCTAGAGGTCCTATTGTTGCTTCAATCAAGCCACCATTCCTGCTCCTTGCATATTGAGAAGTCTTTTCTAATATGGTATCATTTTGGAGTTGTCTGATCTCTACCTTTTCCTTGCAGCTACAGGATCCCAACCCCTTCTAAGCAATCAGAGGTGATAATCAGGTATGGTGTCAAGGAGCTATAAAAATTTGGATTTCAGAACACATACTAGAGATAGAAGAGCTAAAAATAATAGTCTGAGTTGACAGACACGAAGCATAAGTATTTGCCAAATTATGATGGCAATGACTGAGCTTTCCACCAGCTAGCCTGATTTTTGTATTATATTCACACTGATAGCAATATGTAAAATTAGTTTGATTTATCCGTCTCTCGTTTCAGTTGATTCTCCCAGGAATAATCTCCCTTCTCCCTCTGTTTACTTGATTGAATAATAAGTAAATTGAGGAATCGGGTTAAGTTTTGCCATCGCCTGTTTCTATGGATGGAGCTCATTCTTCTCACTCTCATCCAACCTTTGACAATTAAAAATTATCCAACTTGGACGCATCAATTTTGCTGTCACCCACCAGTTAAATTTTTGTAGTAAATATTTGATAAATATGTGAATGTTTATTCGGTTTATTAGGCTCTCATGTCAGTTGATTTTCCAAGGAACTAGGTGCTTCCACTCGTCCCCTCTCCAAGTTGAATAAGAAGTAAATTTAGAAACCAGGTTGACTTGTGTTAACGAGTGACGACGACTCTTTCTGAAGCTGAAGATTGTTTTAAAGGTTGCTGTCCTAATTGAAAACCATCTACCTTGGTGGCATTGATGCTGTTAGGTTTCTGCTAAGCCTAATTTAGCATTATTGTTGGTTTTCGGGTTTGAGGTGAAGGGTTAGTCGATCATTTCAACAGCAATATCAGGTGCTGGAGTTTCTCTGTTTTAACACATATATGCTGTTATTTTCTTTGTCATTTCTTTAGCATTAGAAGGAAACTCAATGTCAAGTCTGTTACGATGATGCTTTCATCTTAATGAGTCTGAAGGTCTGAATGTCAGTTTCCATCCTTAAATGGTTTCCATTATAGCGGGGGGGGGGGGGGGGGGGTCCTCATGTACTGAAGGATATTATTGCCTCGATACAGATGTTGATTCACGTTTCAAATTGCAGTTGATATTTTGTAGTCATGTCCTGATATCTACATGAAACCAACTAATTATGGTCCTTGGTTTCCTCTCTGTTATTGTGTATCTGTCAAATCTGTCCTCTAGTGGAATAGAGACAACCTTTTATGTTCTTTCCAGAAAAGATTTTCCCCAGGTTTCTTATTCCTGTAATTTTTTTTTATTAGGATGACGATGTTCTTTTCAAGTTCGATGATATGCTTACCAATTACGATATCATTGTTATATATAGTTATAAGATTCAAGATTTCAAACTTGCCATTTGACAAATGTAATCAAAACAAATATATGCTAAATTCATGGCTCCTGCCACCGCTATTGTAATAAAAACAAATGTGTCCTTTTTGATAGCTCCAAAGCAGACATTACTATCAATCGCCATTATAATTGCTGGAATTGAGCAATCCTTTGTCCTCCTTAATTTTCACATAATAGACTCTTTCTTTCCAACCATAATTTGTTTCTTTATATTTTTAAAATTATCATATTTCACTTTCAATGAGTTTAAGATCACACAGAGGCATCTGCCATATTCGTACTGATTTTCTTCATGAAAGGAGCTATTTGAGTCTCTAGTGTTAAACTAACGAATGACTTTTTATTTTTAATTAAAGTACCGTTAATCTTACATCTTCAAACTATATAATGGCCTTTGATTATTGGTTTTGATTTAAGATACAGCCAACCAGAAATGAGCCAACTGCAAAGAGAAGGTCCACTCCATAGAGATGGAGTACAGAATACCATACATCTTGCATCGGTTCTGTATTAATTTAGGCTAGCAAGATGGCAACACTGGATCCAGTGTCCTTGTTTATCATTGCACCACACCAAGTATTTTGTGTGTTAACCATTACCAACTTCATGGTTCATGTCTTATGGGCTCATGACTTGTACTTTGCAACCCCAGGGACAAGAAAACATGCATGGGTTCAAATGAGAGAGGAAAAAAAAAATCACCTGGTGAATGCTTCTTCAATTCCCTATATCAAATAAATTACTTTAGAATGGTTTTTTCCTTTAACTTTCCAGGTTTTATGCATTTCTGATTATAATTAATCATACTAGCAGAAACATAAAAGGTTTCAAATTGTCAAAACGTAACCAGCAGATTGGGTTTTTCACCAACATCTTGACACCCATTTAAACTTGATCATGGTTGGAGATAATTAGGTTGCTGGCAACCATTAATAGTCTAGAAAACCAAGTTAGTTTGAATTTTAAATGCTTGCATCCATTTTATCACCGACCAAACAAGCAACATTAAAAACATGTTAAACCTGCATATCATTAATCCTTCTTATGTAAGGTATTAAATCAATGCAAGTTTTCAACTACATCTGATCATATCAAGAAAGAAGAAAAGCAAAAAATACTTAAAACTAGGCCTGCGGGCATGGCTTTTCTCCGCATGTTGCTTTAATTTCTTGTTGCTTTTGTCATAGTGATTCTCGTGAATAAGTCAGCAGTCACAAATATTGGTTGGTGGGACAAGCAAAATGGGTACCTGCAAAGTATGAATGCCACTATGGTTGTTGGTCCCTGCCATGATCATCTGGTGGGCGTGCCAGCTAACTAGCTAAGCGCCATTGACCTATATGGTATACTTAAAAAAAAAAAAGAAACTACTTATTCTTTTGCCACTCGTGGTTAAGTAATCCGGATTGTGCAATCGTTTTGAAACTTTTCTTAATTATTGGTTTAAGCATCCAAGCTTTGTGCCAAAAGATGGAAGACACTTGGAACATAGAAGGCTTTTCATTTTAAAATGAAAACCAAGCAAATATTCTCGTGTCAAATATTTTTTAAAGTGATGATTCCTGATAAATTTCATCAACTTTAAGCTCCCAATTTCTCTATATAAATATTCTAAAAGTAAAATCACTTGATGGTTTCCACATCATGGAATAAAAATAGTAACAAGAAAAAAGAAAATATCCTCTTCAATCTTCATCTTGTCCTGTGCATGCCTGGCTTCACCAGAAATGCTCGACCACAAATATAGCACACATTCGTTTAGGACACGCGTCAGTTCTTGTGTCCAGTAGCATGAAATGTCCGTGTACTTATCCCTTGAAATGATTCCTCTTACTTTCATATCTCCTTGCCTCTATATATCAACCTCAGTACCCTCCTTCCCCCATACCTCACACAACTCACCATATCAGGCCTCAGCTCTTGCTGTCTTGAACTTCTCTAGTTTTCTTGCCTTTCTTTTTACAGGCTTACGCACACGTTAACGAGATACAAGCATGACTCCTTCCTGTGCCATGCTTGTGTTGACTTTGGTGCTTGCTTTGATATCATGTTCAGTAGCTCAAAGTCCGTCAGCATCACCAACAATGCCACCAAGTTCAAGCACCACACCGTCCACTGGCGGTACTCCTCCTACAGCATCCACTCCACCACCCACCACTATGACACCTCCCCCAGCTGTGACTCCAACTTCCTCACCCCCACCGACAATGTCCAGCCCTCCTTCCATAAGCCCAACAACCCCAATGGCTCCTAGCCCTTCATCAACTCCACTGGCCCCAAGCCCATCATCTGCCCCAATGGCACCAACCCCATCAATAAGTTCACCACCTTCACCAACGGCTGCTTCGCCATCTATAGCTAATCCTCCTGGATCTGCTGAAGCTGGTGGACCTGGTCCCTCCACTGACGGGGGGCCAGAGCCAGCTACGCCTCCTGTTATGTCATCACCAAGTTTTGCTGCTCGTACATGTGAATACAGCATGTTCTTATTGGCATTACTTGGAGGAGTTGCACTCTTCGTTTAGGACACAGTTTTTTAAACATTTTTAATCTTTTTTTTTTTGTTTACTTTATGTAGATTAAACTATTTATTTGTGTATTCTTTTTCTTGTTCCATTTTCTCTCTCTTCTGGTTGATTCTTGGAGCTGAATTTGTGATTTGTCATTTTAGGAGATTTTCATTGAATGTTACTGCTCTTTTGTAGCATTTTTACTTAGCTGAATAAAGAGAGACTTTGTGATTCTTGTTTGTATCAATAATTAATGTTAATCATTTCCATTTCTTTCTCACTTTATTTACTTATTTACTGCCTTGAGGACTAAGGAGAGAGTGTAGTATAAGGTGGGCATTTTAGAATAAGTACATTATGAAAGAAAAAAAAATGAATGTTTTCCATGCTGATTTTTGCTAAACAAAATGGAGAAATTAAGATTAAAAAAGAAAGAGAAAAAAGCTGGATAATTTTAAGGCCATTCTTTATCACCAGATTTCAATCAAGTTATATTCATCATTTAAGAACATGGGACAAGGAGAGTTTTCTTTTTTCTTTTTTACTGTTCCTTGTTATGATAATAACATACACACGCAACAAAAAGGTTAGATTAGAATTAGAGGGTGAGATTTGAACTTGGATCATCCTATGGGAAATGTTTGATTCCAACTAAAAAATGTGTTGTAACACAAACTTCAAATAGTAATTCTAATTATTATGGATTTAATTTGTTCATTATCATTCTAAAGTGTCACCTAAAATTCTTAAATAAACTAATACACAAAAAAAAAAGAAGAAAATGTACATAAATGTACATTCCTGTCCATGCACATAAAAGCCATTTATGATTTACCTTGACACTTTGCAAAAAGTTAGATGAGAATGAGTTGGCTGAGGGGTAGATAGAAAGGTGAACAGGTGGTGGTGGTGAATGGGTGATGCCAATGAATATTGGGAGAGGAAGAAAAAGGAGGTGCTAGCTGTTAAGTTAGACTTGTGTGGAGGAAAAAATGGAGTCATTAACTTTTGGGAAAGAGCAGGGGAGTTGCCTTTGGGGTCTCTTTTAGATTGTGGCAGAAATTTGATAAGAGTGGGCTTTTTCTCAGTGGTGCAAAAAAAGCACGAGGGGAGAGAAAGAGAGTGTGGAGAGAGTATGGAATGGATGTATGATTGGTTGAGGTGGGCCTAACATTCATAGATAGTTTGAAAGTGATGTGCACATGGGCTGTTTGCCCCACCAGCATTTTACACACTTCAAATCTCAAACCTTTGTAAAATTCAATTAATAGAAATAAACAAGGATAATCTGCACAAGACTTATATAAAATTATTTAAATAAAATTTATAAAATTTTTTATTTAAAATAATTTAATAAAAATTTTAAATTGATAGATTGATAAAGTTAAAAAAAATTATTTATAATTTAAATTTGATCGATATTTATTTAACAGTTAAAATTTTATTAATATTTTTATTAAAATGTTTATTTAATTATATCAAAATTTATTAATTTTTTTTTTAAATATTATACACTTGATCTATGTGATAAAATATTTTAATATATCAATTTTAATTTTTATTTATTCATTTTTATAAAAAATTTCATAAACTTCACTTATAAAACTTCATATAAGTTTTTCCCAGGTTTTTTTTAACTCTTTCAAATTATTAAAAAAAAAAAAAAACCCCAGTAGTAATTTATTGTTTTCATAACATAACATTCTTTGAAAAAACCTACTTTTAAATTTTTATTGGACTACCCACTGATGAAAAAGGAAAAAGAAAATGAGATTAATAAATTTTCAAGTGAAATATTTAAAATTTATATAGGTTGTATTTTCCCCCCCTGTTTGTAATATAAATAATAGAAAAAAACCATAGAAATTTTGGAAAAAGATAAGACAGCATTGGATACCTGTTAAAGGAGGTAACACTTATAGGTAAGAAAGAAGCATTGAACTAAAAACATCTTATCTAGTTATCTTATCTATCTTCTGTTCTGTTCTTTATGAAGAGTGAAGAAATGACAACTTGAAATACTCAAAGTCAGTCAGGGTCCCTTCACGTGAGCCAACAACGGCATCCCTCATTCATTCCTCGGTTGTCTTGGCCTTCTCAGAAGTTTATGGAAAACAAGATTGTTTATTCGCTTCTTCAGAAAATCCTGTTGGAGGAAAACAAGATCGTTTACATATTGGTCATTAGTTGCTGTTGTGAGTTGTAAGACTATATCTCAGAAAAAAAAAAAAAAAACCATAAACATAATCATAAACATGTATTGATTTCGAAGCATAAATTATCAGGGAAAAAAATCAGTCAATATTATATTTAATCCAGGTGGAATTGGAGACTTATTACATTATGAATATTTTATAACTATAACATAATCTAATCCATTTATTGTCACAGCACGAAAATTTTTGAGGTTGAAGTTCAAACACTGGAGATAGATAATCTCCTATGAATCACCTGAGTACGGTACCTTTATATTGTTTTTCTGTCAGCTGCTAATCCAAAATTTCACAAAACTGTGAAATACCAAATTAGCGAAGCCTGTTTTTTCTTCTTCTTCTTCTCTCTCTCTTTTAACTGTATGTGTGTGTGAGTGCATACGTCTGTTTTTGAGTTAACTGGAGCAGTTGTCACGTGATGAAAACTAAGACCAAAAAATCTGAAGTGAAAACTTACCAGTTTCTGTTGCAACTGCAGTGTTAGCTGAACTGCTGCATCTCTTGCATCCTTCGGGTGCTGCACAGCCTGATTCATAAATAAAGGAAGGAAATGTAAAAATACAGACGTAGAAGTCGGATTCTGGGTTTGCATTTTCAAATTAGTTTCACCAGAAATATAATTAAATAGAAGGCAAACCGGCTAGCTTAATTGTAACAATGAAGTATTGCAAATGCAAGATAACATGATGATTTTCAATAGCTAACTTAATTCTTCTTTTTTTTTTTTTTTGGAAAAAAAAACAAGTCCTCAATCCGTATAAATCAGAGAAGAGCATTAGAATCGCTTGCTCATATAAAACAGACAAGATCAATGGCGATGAATATTTGCAGCTTGTGAAATAAATGCAAGCATCTGCCATAGTTTTTCATTCCTACTTCTTTCAAACTGCCAAATCCACTTGCAGATTCCAGATAATTGATCATAAGGTTTAATGCATGGAAAATTTTCCCATTTTTCACGAGGCAGATTAGTGATATTGTATGTTGCTCTGACTATTTTTTTTTTGAAGTAACTGTGTCTAATACTTTCAGCAAACATGAATATGGACATGAGTATGAAGGTCTGACGCTCCAATATATGAAAAAACTAAGAAAATTTAAATGTACTGTATCGGAAACATATTCATATCCCATACTCGCCCTAAGTCCAGGTAACATAATATTATTGTTATACAAGAAAACTAGAGGAACAATATACAGCATCAGAAAACTAGAAATTATAGTATTGTACAAACAAAACCAACAATGCTTTGAACTTGAACTTAAGTAATATTAGAAAAGCATTAAAAACAAAGAGATTAATTGGGAGGATAGCTTTCAGTTGCTCACATCAGTACTGAATTCAACACCTATGCCAATTATATGATCAAAGGTAAAAAGGTACCAACCAAACCTTCACTCAAAACCTCAAAGTGCACGCTTACAGGTGTTGTGAGGTTAAGTGTTTGCAAACATGTATATTCCATAAAACAAAACAAAATATAGCCCCCTATACACACACACACACACACACACACACACACACCTAAGTAAAAAGCTGACCAGACTCACAGAGTTTGAATAAGGAATTTGTAGTGTGGAGCTCTTTAATCCTTCATCCTTTGAATTCCCTTGAGCGGAAGGAGATACAAAGAAAACTTTAAGCTTGTACTCCTGAATCTTCTTACCCCTTTCCTTATTGAACTGATGCAAAGATTTGATCACATTCCAAAAATCAAATTTGTCTTTAAACAATATCATACAAGTTAGTCAAATAAAAAACATTATTCTCCTTATTAGCATTACAGTATCTGCTGGTAGGTCATGCACGTTAGTATTTGGAGACACTATAGTACTCTGTAGCATAAATTTGTCTTTGCATTGCATATCTGGAGGATATTCCCGCTGGGCTTGGCGAGTGACTGACATTCAAGCAGGTCAATGAAATCAGCATCAGACATATGAGAATCTCAATGAACTAACAAAGATAAGTAATGAAGGAAAGCAGGCCAGGGAAGTGACTTTGTGATCAGAAAAGGCAAGCTACATCAGTTCTTAGACCAAAAGACAACTTTGCATTCAAATGCCATCCACATTGTTACTTTACAAGAAATGAAATGGTTTTGTGGACAGATCAGATTAAAAGTAATACTTCTGATAACACATGAGTTCCAAGGCAGTACAACACCCCTGTTTGGTCGAACACAGTAGTTCTTCGGTGCAGTTGTGTTAACCTAATATGATAACAAGTTGGGAACATTAAAATCAAACAATCTTAGAAAATCCCAGAATGGGTGGAGAATATACATAACAACACATTCATACACATTCGCAACAGTAACAGAAACAATACCTTAAAAGCCACATGGTGTTCTGCATTGTTCACCACTTTAAGATCACAAGAACTTTGCTTTTTAGGCTCAACTGAAAACATGAATAGCATTACCAAAATTGAACTAACTTAAAATTTGTTTAACAAAAGTTTTAAGAATAATCATATGCTGAAGAAAATGATCACAACGCCATTTAAGAAGGATCTTAGCATTACAAAGAAAACGGCCTCCAAAAGCAGAAATTAATGAAGCTAAAAATTGATGACACATTACAGATGACTACGAGATCAAAAAAGAAAATTCCTAAACTGCTTTTCTTCTCCCCGCATCTTCTAAAGAACAATATGTCAACCTTCACAAATTGAATTTGCATTACCCATTGTTTATTCTAGTTCTGGTTGGAAGGGATGCCGAATTGGTCTGTGCTAGCATCCAAAAAAACACCAGTAATGACTGCCAATTCTAGATCAAATGACTCCGATGAAGTAGAGAATTCAAAAAACAAAATAAATAAACATACAAATCACTATATTGTCTACAAATCTAATTCCATAAAAACTTGTAACAAAATAATCATCTCCAATGCATTCCTCTCAATCACCACCTGAAATTCAACACAACACCAATCCTTTGCACCCCTATTTTTCCCTTAGATGTATACATACATCAGATTCACGTGCATGCAAGCAAGTACAAACATACAAAAGGTGATACTTACTAATAAACTTGAGATCATTGGGATGAACAGATATCAACTGATTATCGTCAATAGCAGTAATGACTAGCACCCCACCTCTAAGATCAATCTTTACTCCCTTAGAAAAATTTCAATCAAAACCACCCACAACAATTAATGCAGCAAAACAGTGATTTAAATTGATAAAATAACAATAAAGCCACACCATAATCAATATGGCATCTCACCAAACTTCATAATAATATGGCTGAAAATATATTCTTAAAATCTACCTTCAAAGAATCATTGCAGTACTTCTATAAAAGTCCTAACGAGACTAGTTATTACTAGTTTACATCTAATGAGGTTGTAGCCAGACTCCTTCATACTTAAGTGTTATGAAGCAATACAAAAGAGAATATTCCTTCCTTTTTTGGTGCAGTGGAGATATTCTTTTTTTAAAAATATTCTTAAGGTTGAAGTAATTCTAGTTACTTGTAAAAATGCACCTTACATTAATTAGTCAACAATACAAAATTATAAGAGTAAAAAGTAATTATCAACCTAATCAAGTTTCCAAATCAAACTTCTTCATGTCTGCACCAAATAAAACCTGATTTTCTCCTTTTATATACTTTTGAAGGCTTGTTGATCCACTATAAACAATCTTTCACAAGAGGAATGTTAGGGGCAGTAGTTTTTACCTCACTCTTGAACACTCAAACAGCTTTAGCTCCATGTCATCCAAGTTTTAAGGTTGAAAATAGATAATATATCACAGGTTGGGTGCGTGTCTTTGCAATGCATGTGTAATACTTTCAACAGGCATGAACACAGACATGAGTTTGGAGGTTTGACCATCCAATTTATGAAAAAACTTAGGAAAAGCTAAGCGTACCATATCGGACACATACTCGTATCCTATACTCACCGTGAGGTCCAAATAACATAGCATTATTGTTATACACAAAAACTAGACTAATGATATACATCATCATAAAACTAGAAATTATAATGTTGTACAAACAAAACCAAAAATGCTTTGGCCTTGATCTTAAGTAATATTAAAAAAGCATTAAAAACAAAGAGTTTTAATTAGGGGGAGAGCTTTCAGTTGCTCACATCATACTGAATTCAGCACCTATGCCAATTGTATGATCAAAGGTAAAAAGGTACCAAGTGAACCTTTACTCAAAACCTCAAAGTGCACATGTACAAGTGTTGTGAGGTTAAGTGTTTGCAAACATGTATATTCCATAAAACAAAACAAAATACAACCCCCAATATAATTATATATATATATATAGCTGATGAGACTCACAGAGTTTGAATAAGGAATTTGTAGTGTGGAGCTCTTTAATCCTTCACCTTTTGAATTCCCTTGAATGGAAGGAGATAAAAAGAAAACTTTAAGCTTGTACTCCTCAATCTCCTTAGCCCTTTCCTTATTGAACTGATGCAAGGACAAAGATCACATTCCAAAAATCAAATCTGTCTTTAAACAATATCATAAAGGGTAGTCAAATGAAAACGTTATTCTCCATGTTAGCATTACAGTATCTGCTGGTAGGTTTTGCACTTTAGTATTTGGTGGCACTATGGTACTCTGTAGCATAAATTTGTCTTTGCATTGCATATCTGGAGGATATTCCTGCTGGGCTTGGCGAGTGACTGATATTCAAGCAGGTCAATGAAATCAATATCAGACATATGAGAATCTAAATGAACTAACAAAGATTAGTAATGAAGGTAAGCAGGCCTGGGAAGTGACTTTATGATCAGAAAAGGCAAGCTACATCAGTTCTTAGACCAAAAAGATAACTTTGCATTGAAATGCCATCGACATTCTTACTTTACAAGAAATGAAATAGTTTTTTGGAAAGAACAGATTAAAAGTAATACTTCTGATGACACAAGAGTTCCAAGGCAGTACAACACCCCTGAATGGTCGAACACAGTAATTCTTCGGTGCAGTTGTTTTAACCTAACATGATAACAAGTTGGGAACCTTAAAATCAAACAATCTTAGAAAATCCCAGAATGGATGGAGAATACGAATAACAATATATTCATGCACATTTGCAACAGTAACAGAAACAATACCTTAAAAGCCACATGGTGTTCGGTGTTGTTCACCACTTTAAGATCACCAGAACTTTGCTTTTTAGGCTCAACTGAAAACATGAATAGAATGACCAAAAGTCAGCTAACTAAAAACTTGTTTCAAGAGGGATGCCGAATTTGTATGTGCTAGCATCCAAAAAACACCAGCAATGACTGCCAATTCTAGATCAAGGGACCCAATGATGTTAAGAATATATAAAACAAAATAAATCAACATAGAAATCACTATATTGTCCACAAATCTAATTCCCGAAAAACTTGTCACAAAAATAATCATCTCCAATGCATCCCTCCCAATCACCACCTGAAATTCGACACAACAAGAATCCTTTGTTCCCTTATTTTTCCCTTGCCAAATTTATCACATAACCATAGAATTGTATCATGAAATTTCACATACATCTAATGGGACTCTAAATGTACAATTTCATGAACTTTCACATACATACATACATATATCAAAATTCACATGCATGCATGCAAGTACAAACATTCAAAAGGTGAAACTTACCAATAAACTTGAGGTCATTATGATGAACAGATATTAACTGATTACTGTCAAGAGTAGTCATGACCCCCAGCTCTAAGATCAAACTTTACCCTTAGAAAAAATTCAATCAAAACCACCCACAACAATTGATGCAGCAAAATAGTAATTGAAATTGATAGAATAACAGTAGAGTCACACCATGATTAGTATGGCATCTCGCCACACTTCACAATAATATGGCTGAAAATTTATTCTCAAAATCTACCTTCGAAGAAACATTATAACACTTTATATAAAAGTCCAAAGGATCCTAGTTATTAGTAGTTTACATCTAAGGAGGTTCTAACTAAACTCCATTGTTAAGTATTATGAAGCAACACAAAAGTGAATATTCCTTTTTTTAAATATTCTTAAGGTTGAAGTATTCTAGTTATTTGTAAAAATATTAGTTAGTCAACAATACAAAATGATAATAGTAAAAAGAAATTATCAGCCTGATCAAGTTTCCAAATTAAATATTCTTCTTCTCTGTACCAAACAGAACCTGGTTTTCTCTTTTTATATACTTTTAAAGGCTTGTTGATCCTCTATCAACAATCTTTTACAAGAGGAATGCTAGGAGCAGTAATTTTCAACGTCAATATTGAACACTCGAACAGCAATTGTTCTGGTAAAATTTCATCATTCTTCATTTATTGAAAGAGTGAACGCTGATTAACTCTTTTTGGGCTGTGAAAGCTGATTAGCTGAAACTCTAACTTTGACTCATCTAAAACATATTAAAAAACAAGAAAAAAATAATCTTTGACTTAGTCTGCCAACTGATATGTGCACCACTATGGTAATGTAAAGATTAACACTATTGACTTAGTCTATCTAGGCATGCGTATATAAAAAATAAAATATTAAATATTTTAAAAATTCATGTGGATGAAACAGCAATTGTTCTGGTAAAATTTCATCATTCTTCATTTATTGAAAGAGTGAACGCTGATTAACTCTTTTTGGGCTGTGAAAGCTGATTAGCTGAAACTCTAACTTTGCCTCATCTAAAACATATTAAAAAACAAGAAAAAAATAATCTTTGACTTAGCCTGCCAACTGATATGTGCACCACTATGGTAATCTAAAGATTAACACTATTGGCTTAGTCTATCTAGGCATGCTTATATCAAAAATAAAATATTAAATATTTTAAAAATTCATGTGGATGAAACAGCAATTGTTCTGGTAAAATTTCATCATTCTTCATTTATTGAAAGAGTGAACGCTGATTAACTCTTTTTGGGCTGTGAAAGCTGATTAGCTGAAACTCTAACTTTGCCTCATCTAAAACATATTAAAAAACAAGAAAAAAATAATCTTTGACTTAGTCTGCCAACTGATATGTGCACCACTATGGTAATCTAAAGATTAACACTATTGACTTAGTCTATCTAGGCATGCGTATATAAAAAATAAAATATTAAATATTTTAAAAATTCATGTGGATGAAACATGACATTTTATTTACAGCAGAACTGACTTTTTACCACATGTAAAAAATGTCTTTTTCCCTTTTTGGGGAACAATAAAACTTCTGCAAAAATAAAAATTAACTCCAATTAAAAAAAAAAAAGAAAAACAAAATCTATTCCAAAAAATAAAAGCTTAAAATGGTCAAACGAAAACATTATTCTCCATGCCAACATTCTTACAGTATCTTCCGGTAGGTCATCCATGTCAGTATGTGGAGGCAATTTAGTACTCTGTAGCAGAAATTTGTCTTTGCATTGCATATGTAGAGGATATTCCCATTCGGCTTGGCGTGTGATTGGTATTCAAGCAGGTCAATGAAATCAGTAATGGAGGAAAGCAGGCTAAGCAAGCGACTTGTCTCAGAAAAGATAAGGTAGCTAGAACAATTTTTAGACCGAAAAATACCTGTGCTTTAAAATGCCGTCTAGATATGCGGATCTCTTACCTTATGAGAAACGAAATTGTTTCTGAAAGATCAGATTAACGGTAATACCTTCGATGATACATGAGTCCCAAGGCAGTAGAACACCAATGTGCGGTCGCACACAGTACTTGCTAGATAAAGTCGTTTTAACCTAACATGACAAGTTCGGAACATTACAAGCAAGCAATCGTATAATGAATCCCAGAACAGATGGAGAATACAAAAAACAAGATATTCATAGGGCATTTGCAACTGTAACAGAAAGTTAGAAATGGTACCTTGATCGCCCCATGGTGTTCTGTGTTGTTCACCAGTTCAAGATCACAAGAACTTTGCTTCTTAGGCTCAATTGAAAACATGAATAGTATGATCCAAAGTCTATGTTGGCCAAAAAACACCAAAAGTCAACTAAACTAAAATCTTGTTTAGCAAAAATTTTCAAGAATAATTATATATACTAACGACATTTAAGAATTGCTAAACTGCTTTTCTTCTCCTCTAATTCTAAAGAATAACAATATCTGTACAAGTTCTGGTTGGACGAGAGGCTGAATTGGTCTGTGCTAGCATCAAAGCAACACCAGCAATGACCCAATCAACTTATGAATTCAGAAAAATAAAACAAATCAACATAGAAATCACTATATTGTCCACAAATCTAATTCCATAAAAATTTGTAACAAAATAATCATCTCCAATGCATCCCTCCCAATCACCACCTGAAATTCAACACAACAGCAATCCTTTGCACCAATATTTTTCCCTTTCCAATTTAATCACAACCATATAATTGAATCATGAACCTTCATATACAGCTAACGGGACTCTACGTATACAGTTTCACATGCATGCATGCGAGTACAAATATACAAAAGGTGAAACTTACAAATAAACTTAAGGCAATTGGGATTAACAGATATCAAGTGCTTACAGCCATCAGCAGTCATGACTAGCACCCCACATCTAGAAAGACTCTCAGAAAAAAAAAAAAATTCAATCAACACCACCCATAAAAATCTTTCACAAACTAAAAAAAAAAAAAATCAAAAAGAAGGAGAAGAAGAGTTAGGGAAATAAATCAAGAAATGAGTTAATTACGTATATGGCACCCGAACTTTGAACAAATGCAAAACCCCATGCGAAAAATAAGATCCAAAATGTGGAGAGTCAAATTTTCACTTGCAAAGAAGTCCAATCTTTCTTCTTCAATCTTCATATCAATGGTTTGTTTTATAGTCTTTCTTCTTTGGCTTAAAAGAAAAGAAAAACGAAAGAAAATATGAGAAACAACTTTCGTCAAAGTAAATTGTTGCAAGCGCAAGAATCTTTGAATGAAAACTTAAAAGATTTCCAGAATTAAACAGAGATCAAATAAAAGAAAAGAACAATCAGAGATTTTCAAAGGAAGATCTTAGAACAGAGATGACATAAGATAGAAGAGGAGGAACAGATGAAGAGCTTAGAACAGATATGAAGAGAAGAAGAAGAATCAGAGAATTTCAAAGAAAGAGAAGATAAGTTGACCTGGTCAACTATTGAAGCTGCATCCGAGAATCTCGGAGAAGAACAACTCTCTCTCCTCAACGGTAATATGACCGTTGGAAATAAAAGCAATATGGGACTTACATATAACCCATGACGTGCAAAATAGAAACAACCCAATATTAAAGTCCACAACATAACCCATTAAATAGGCCCTTATCATATACCTACTTCCACGAAGAAGAATTGCTTTCCAAGAAAAAAATGGATAGGTATATGAATTCAACCAACATTTTAGAATCCAGGACAGTGGAAATCCGATTCACATACATAACTAGTGAAGAGAAAGTACCAGTTGAAACTCGATTCTTCAAGAGTAAAAAATTTCTCCTCTCTTTTCTCTTCTTTTTCCAAGAATCTGAAAAAATCTTGTTATTTTTGGAGGTTTTTGTCAATCGTCAATATATTTTTAAGGAAAAAAAACCATGGGTAATTTTGGGAGCAGTCCACTAACTCTTCTCAACATTGCTCTGGTGAGTCGTGTAGACCAAACGATCAAAGTTTAAAAAGCAACTTGGGCTTTTTTTTTTTTTTTTTTTCTCTTTAACCAGTAAATCTTGTGTTTATCCAAAGAAAGCAGGAATATCCTGCTACAAAAGTTCCTAAAAACTTGCATCTTGACTCCTGAAGTTGAGATGAGATTGAACAAAAGCTAAGCAAAGTTCATATGCAGGCAAAATTGCAGATTTGATATAGGGTGCATGCAATCGATGTTTGGATGTAAATGTTCATATCACTTTACAGTGTTTTTGAAAGAACAAAGAAAATTTTTAAATAAATAACATCTGCAATCAGGAAATAAATCAAACCAATAATGGAAATTATAACAAGAAGCACTTGCACATCAAAGGGAAAAAAATAAAAAAAGAAAAGATTGCTTTGCATGTTAGTTTCAGTAGCACTTCATCTGTTTGGTATAATCATGTGTATTGTTTAATCAGCTTGATTAGTTGGTCATTGAGGTATTTGATTTACTTTGGTATCTTCTTCCATCTGATCATAATGATGATGGTTAACAACACTTCTGCACTTTCAGGTTTGAACGCCTTGCCAGATCTCAAAATCCAGTTGTAAAGGCTATCAAATGAGAACTTTGGTACGGTCTTTAGTTTACTTACCATACTTTGTTATCATCTATTTTTCCTTTGTTTCCTTCGGCAATGGAAGCATTCTGAACATGGAGATTTAATTTTACTTGAGTAACTGGCTTGAAGCTTGCCGGGTGGGATTTTCAGGTCTTCCATGAGTATCTGATGAAGCTTCTGATTCTCCTCCATAAGTTCCTCAATGATTCGCTGATGTTTCAACACCTAAATGAAAATAGAAGTTTCAGTAAAATCTAATACAGCCCTATACAAAAAGAGGAAGAATACGAACATGAACATGCTTTATTATAGGTAAGAATTGAGAGCCTGTATGAATCAAATGTATGTTGAAAACCTTGCAACATCTATCATGTATAAATCCTTTTGAGATATGGCAACTGCTAAACTAATAAGGAGCATTACCAGTTGAAGCACATTGTTTTCAGAACGCAACTGCCCAGCCTACAAAACAACCAAACCCAAGTAAATTATTGCTGCTGCTACTGCTATAACTGATAACCAAAATCGGAAGAAATGCAACTGCTTGTTGCATGTTAAAGCATGTTCTTTTCACAGCTTTCTGTTCCCAGCTACTCTTTCAATGGCTGGAGTGAAATGAATCAATGATGTTTCTTGCACAACCATTAAGTGTATAAAATGAGCTGATCGCAAGCCTCATATTGCACAAATTTAACCAATAGACCTCCCTTGTGATTTTATTAAAATGACATTCCAGATTACACATTCTAATTCAAAGCTGGAATGCAGATAAGAAATAGCAAAACCCTCAAGTGATGAATAACAAAGCGTAAAGGTATCTTTGCATACCAGTTCATTTAGGCTGGTTTCGTCTTCCTTCAAAACTGGATGTTGCAAAAAACTATTAAGAACCTTTTCTGTTCGACTTCCAAAAGAAGTCTCAGTGGGAGATTTTGATGAAAATTTTTCATAAGCTGAACCTCTACTCTTATTTCCAGGTCCAGGCAATACTTGAGATGTAGGATCTGCTAGCTTTGACACTATCTGCTCCATGTTTCCAAGTGGGCTTCGCATAGAGGGTTCATTTGTTGCAGTCAAACCACTTTGAAAGGATACAGGAAAAGCACCTTCACTGAAGGGTAAATTGGGAGCCCTTCCGAATTTCATCATCAATTTTGTCAATGCTTCCTAGATGTTTCAGATTAAAAATTTAGATACAAGTTAAGAAAAACACAACAGAAAAAATAAATATTACATAAGAAATTATACGTACTATAACAAAACATTGCATTTGATGCACCACCCCAGGCTTCACCGCAAGTCCTGCAATGCAAACAACTTTTGCTGTCAAAAACAAAATTTTTACTTCATATGATTGACAAAGCTTTAAAGTACCAGATTATTTTTATTGCAGCATGAGCATAAAAATATCAATGGCAATCAAGGTATAAAGATAAAAGCACAGCTGGTTCGATGAGGGTACTCCTTATGTGGATGCTTAAAATTTCAAAACTAGAGGACAGCCAGAACAGATTTTCATCTGGTTAGATAAGCCATGCATCTGGGATTGCTAGAATCCCAACCACAGCAATCAGCTATTTTGCTATGATCATATGACCAAGCGCTGGAACTAAGCAGTCAACAATCAAACCATAATGTATCTGGTCCTGAAATTTATTTGGATCAACATCTGCTTATCACATAACACTTTTATACAAAGAATAAATTGAAGTAACTAACATGGGAATCAAGAGAAAATAATCAGTAATTTATCTAATCTTGGAATACTGAGGCGCACATACTGTCACCTCAGGTCTGATGTTTGCAAAGTTCAGTATCAGTCAGACTTCACAATAAATTTACAAGATACTTGATCTTAATACAAATGCATCAATATCATAATACTTATTCACTTATTTCTTTTCAACATTATTGCATACCAACACCAAAACCATGGCCAATACCCACTCCACATCCAATCCCTGCTTCAATGCTCTTAGCTCCCAACTTCCTTAACTAGAAACATGAGAAAGACTAGATAAGCAGTTTGTGAAATATCAAACAAACAAAATTAAACAAAAGTAGTAAAAATCAATTAGGAAGTTCTGTATTTGACTTACAGCACCATTTACTTGTCTGCTAACAGCAGAAAATGCATCAGTTGCACCTCTTGTTGCACTCATAACTTGGCCCAGCATAGGTATTGCACCTGGTATATAACACAGGTTAACAAATATCCTTGAAAGAATATACTAGCAATAAGAAATGCCTGCAAAACTTTCATCAGTTAACAACAATATAATGTACTTCATCATAAGAGACGTTCATCAATCATAAAAGTTTTGCCCTACACCATTCATTACTTATTCCAGATACAACTATGTAACATAATACTACTGATAACCATAAAAAGCTATTCCAGAATTAGCATGATATCTAAAGGCTTTGACCCGCAGCAGTCTCACAGGACATACGATCAAAGCACATGGAGGATAAAGAAGATAAAACAAAAGCATCTAAGAGCCTGCAAGAGGATCACAATTTAGCAAATTTGATGTCCAACAATTATGAATTCTTTAATCATATACCCTTGCATCAAAATTTCACACTCAATGATTGTTAATGGATCCACTACAAACAAGGTAGAATTGGTTCACCGTAGGCAACTTTAAGATGTTTTTGTTAAAGTAGGTTCTCATTTAGTATTGAAAGCTCCCATTATATTGTGCAAGACGCCATCATAATGCATAAAGATGTATAAAAACATCACCCAAGCCAAACCTTGAAGGGTACCTGGTAGTGGTACATAATTAAATCTTTAGATTACACTGTCTTCATGGTTGAACTCATAAATTTTTTTAATGTTGTGATCTTGCACTCAACTTGCAGGGAAAAGTAATCACATTTCCACTAAGTAGCAGACAACCATATCAAACAGATCAAGGCTTATTAAGCTAAGTCAAGATACTACTGATTTACATAATTCCAAAATAATTACACGGGTACAGCAAATATATAACACTAAATGGAAGTAGTTGCATTTTAACATGTGTTGAACACTTTAAATACTTAACCAGGAGACTAACATTCGGTAAAGCTAAACCATTCTCTGACGACTGAAAAACTTCAAACTTTAACAAACAAAATCAATCAACTCACCATTTCAAATACAGTAAACATCCAAATAGAAAGCTATTACTCATTCCACTTACTCACATTTTCCCAACACAGCCATTAGCCAATATGCTTAAGGAAATAAATGAAAAGAAAGTGATACCAAAAATGATACATACAAGGTTTCTTAGGAAGCAAATTGGAATAAACATCATCGTCCTTGGGACTAAACAAACCACCCCAGTTCATCTTCACTATTCAAAGAAAAGATTTTTGCCTAAAAAAAGTACTCAAAAAAATGAATTATTATGTATATGCAAAGAAAGAGCATGTTAATAAGCAATACCTAGATTTATAGGGCGGCCCACGCCTATACCAATGCCACAACCAATGCCAAAGCCAGTAAATACTTGACCCACTTTCAAAGTAAATGGGTTCTCTAATCTGATTCCCCCAAAGCCTTTTCTTTGATTGGTTGCCACCATTTTATTGTCACTGGTATTGATACTACTCTCCATTCTTCAACAAGTCTCTCTTTCTCCTCTAATTGCAAAATCCCAAAGATATTCTCTGTCAAATGGGTCTCTTTCAAGTTTTTTTTCAGTTTTCTCTTTGAAGAAGCTAAGAATTCTGTCTCTTACTTCTTCCAGGCTAAAGCAAAGCCATTGTGGGTAGATTTTGTCTATTGAGAAAAGATGTCTCTTTGGTCTCTTTGTTATATATGGTCCAAAGGGATCTTGCCACGTAAAATGCCCTTCCTATTTATTTCTTTTGATTTTTGAATGGGCTATGAGTATCGGGCACCGGCCGTTTCCTCGTTGAGGTGGATTGGGTCTTTGATTATATTTGAGCTACAGGGTTACTAATTTTAAGCAAGCTAGCCCGGTGGTTTGATCCAAGTCGGGTTTAAACGAAAATTTTTAGATTCGAGTTAGATCTGATTAAATTATTTTATTAATAAATAATATAAACTTATATCACTAAATTATTTATATTATTTATATTCATAATCTATTTAAAATCTCACATGGATTATGTATTACTGAAGCTCTTAGCCACTTTACGTCCCTTGTTTTGAGCAGCTTTCTACCTTGATAGCCTCCAGCGATTCATTCACAAACAAAGCAAACTCTGCACCCATTTCACTTCCAAGATTGTTCTCTGCATCCTCAAGGCAGGCTAACGCTACTTTTCTGCACCATTCAGTCTCCAGACTTTCACTTTCAGCATGAATCTTGAAGATCATGGTTTTGCCTGAGTTTTTGCTCGGACTTGAGGTGATCATGTTGGGGGATAAGAATTGGTGGTATTATGGAGACCAGGGAGATAAGGGTAGCTTTCTTTCATCATTCTTGTTGATTATGTTGTTGTGAACATTTGCCCACGTCTTGAGGAACTACAGAATTATTTTTTTGGAAATGCAGGGTTATAATTAATGATATTTGACTATTGTGAATAATTAAACTCCTCATTTAAGTTTTTTAGCTATATTATCTTTTGAATTTAGAATCACGTAGTTAATGAATTTATATGAAAATAGTATATTTTAATTATAATATTTATAAACTTTTAATTTTATTTTAAGATATTTTAATTATATTTTTACTACCAAGTAAATTAATTAAAAGGTATAGAAAGTGAAATTACAAAGTAAAAATTCATATATTTTGTTATTAGTTTAGTCTAAACAAAATTCACCCTAGAAACTTTATATATATATATATATATATAATATACAAGCGATTTTGTTACTAAATTGACAAATTGGATGCCCTTTACCCCTTTCCAACTTGCACAATCTCTCTCCAATTTACTTGGAGCTTTATTTTTATGTCTAAAGGCATAAAGCTGAGTAAAATTTGAGCCCAAAATCAAATTAGTATGGGGCTGTGGGCCTAAAACCATGGATCAAGCTCAGGCCTAATACAAACAATTTCAGGTTCCTGTTACAATCCAGCTTCAAGCTAAAAGAATGGCGTTATCAATGTACCTTTCCCGGGTAAAATCTGGCTTAATATGAACCAACAAGAACCATTTCATCTTCGCCACTTATTTTCGAGACCTTTCGTTTTAAAATTAAGGTTCTCGAGTCTCAAACTATCACAAACTTTACACTCCTAAACTGCAGGACCATGGCAAAAACCCCTTCTTCCCTTCTGGGTCTCAACTCACCTATGTCACGACCTTTGTCGTACAACTCTCAAGGTAGAGTTTTTCTGGTCAGGCATTGTTGGTTTCGGGTTCAACGCAGAACCAAACCCATCTGTGGATCAATGATAAAAGCTGAAGCTCGAGTTCAGAAGGAGGATATTGTCATTGTGGGAGCTGGGATTGCTGGTCTTGCCACTGCAGTGTCCCTTCGCAGGTCAGAAAAGAAAATTTGAGCTAAACTTTATGCCTTGGCTTGCCTTTCTAGTCTAAATTAGACTCTCCGTTTACATATCAGTTGGATTCTTTTGGCTCTTCGTTAGCAATGAGTTTATGCAAAATCTCTCTTTTCTAATAGATGATGGTGGCACATATTGTTCAACAAGAAATTAAAGGATCTCCACAAATTGGTCTAATTAGTTTGCATGTTAAGTGATCTTCAGGCTAGGAATTGGATCATTAGTGCTTGAGCAAGCAGAGTCACTTAGAACTGGTGGAACCTCACTCACTCTTTTCAAGAATGGCTGGCGGGTATTGGATGCAATTGGTATTGCAGATAGTCTGAGGAGCCAATTTCTTGAAATTCAAGGGTATATGTCAATGTCACAAGCTTCTTGTTAACCAGTGCGTTAAAGCAAGAATAGAAAGTACTTGCTATATTTTTTTAGTGAACTTGATCACTTGGAAATTTACGAAATCAAACTTTCTATGGTAGGTTTCAGACTTGAAGGCATCCGTAGTTATCATATTCTGAACTTGTTCATTGCGTCATCTGTGCAGGATGGTGGTGAAGTCAGACGATGGAAGGGAGTTACGCTCCTTCAAATTCAAAGATGAAGATCAAACGTACTAAATCTTCCACGTTTTTGGGGGCAGTTTTTAATCTAATTTATTTTTGTTCTTTACCCTTCAATTGTATAGAATAGTTTCTCTGTTTCATCAACTAATGATAACGTGATGTTGCAGACAAGAAGTTCGAGCGGTGGAGAGAAGAATACTACTGGAGACGCTTGCCAATCAGCTGCCACCTGAGGCAATCCAATTTTGTTCGAAGTTAGAAAAGATTGAATCAAGTGAAAATGGTGAAACACTTTTGGAACTTGCGGATGGTACTAGATTGCTTGCAAAGGTTAATTAATCTACGTTTCAACATTCTCCTTCATATATATATAATTCAGCATTGCTTCCAAACCGTGGCAAAAGAAACTAAATTGTTGAATATATGTATATATGTATTTGTATGTATATTTCAACAGATAGTTATTGGCTGTGATGGAATTCGGTCTCCAATAGCCAAATGGATGGGTTTCTCTGAGCCAAAGTATGCAGGGCATTGTGCTTTCCGTGGACTAGGATTTTATCCCAACGGGCAGCCATTTGCACCAGGAGTTAATTACATATATGGAAGAGGGTTGCGTGCCGGATATGTTCCTGTATCTCCTACGAAAGTTTACTGGTTTATCGTCTATAACAGCCCCTCTCCAGGTTTTTTTTATTATTATTTTTTTTTACGGTAGAATTCAGTCATTTAATGAAATAGTGAAACTATCATACAAGAACTTCCAGTAAAGTTTTTTCCAATCCTTCTAAGCTCCAATGATTTAAAACATGGCTTGTTGCAGGTCCAAAGATCACTGATCCAATTTTGCTGAAGAAGCAAGCAAAAGAACTAGTAAAGAATTGGTTTGAGGAGCTACCTAAATTGATTGATCTCAGCCCGGATGAGACGATAAGTAAAACCCCCCTTGTCGACCGTTGGCTATGGCCAGGTGTAAGTCCTCCTGCTTCAGCTGGCAAAGTTGTGCTGGTCGGGGATGCCTGGCATCCGATGACTCCCAATCTTGGGCAAGGTGCCTGTTGTGCTTTAGAAGATGCGCTGATTCTGACAAGAAAGTTAGCAGATGCAATTAAATCTGGACCTGCATCTGTGGAAGGTGCTTTCGGGGCATATGGAGAGGAAAGATGGCCCCGTATCTTTCCATTAACCATACGGGCAAATATCGTGGGATCTCTTTTGCAGTGGGATAATCCATTTGTCTGTTCTGTTCGTAACAACGTTATCATACCTAAACTCGTTAGTCTTGGACCAATGCTTGAACACACAAATTTTGAGTGTAAGCCTTTAAAAGAGTAAAATGTAAGATTTCAAGTCGACCTTAAATAAAATGTAATTTCATCAATGCAAGAGTTAAGAAGATCGTTATACCAATAAAGCAGGTTCTCCGCCTTAAATATGTTGAACCTCATCTCATTCACCACACTTGCAACTCCAATACTCTGTTACCACTAATTCAAGGTTCAAGCATCCAATCTATTTAAAAAATGCTCTAAAGTCTTGTGTACAAGTTGAGGTGGACGAGCATGAATAGCAAATTTAAAAATGAAAACACGCATCTTGAACCTGCACTCATGTGATATTTAACATCAACCCAAAATACCATTAACTTATTAGCATTCAAGCCAATTGTAAAATCCATTTTACATGTCATAAACATGACAATGTATAACCAACCCAAAGGAAACAGCTTCCTTCTGCCGTCTTTAAGTGCTTTAATTTTTCATCCTGTATATATGTAATATCACAAAGTGATGAAATCATCTACATTCTATAAAATGAAAATGGTTTTTCAGAAGAAAATGAATATCTCGATAACTCTTTGACAAGAAGCAAGTGAGTTACACCCGCTCTTTGATAATCTCACAGGTTATGCACACCGGTTGCTTTGTGGAATTAAGTTCCCCAGCTCCGATTTTGAAGTAAGTTACTCCATGCACCAAAGACTCTTGATTTTGCAATTAATCTTCAAACCCTTGATTCTGCAAAGAATTTGATCATCTTAGTTTTTAAAATACTATATCAAACATAACATTCAAAGTCTAAATTTTGATTCTCCTAGAATATCCCTTGATTCTAACTTTAAGTATCTAACTAAACGTCTGCAATTTAAAATCAGTAAATTTTATCAAATTTCATCAAACTAAATGGGGGAAACTCTAAAATAACTTAATAACCAATAAAAGGATTTAAAGCACAAAGCTGAACGGTTCATATGCTTTGGTAGATCAATAAAACACATCGATATGACTAATAATCAATCACTGCCTTTCAATATTCTAACATGCTCTAGGAAGCTGGTAGCTGGTCCATTCATTGCTCAACCAAAATAAATGTAACTTAGTTATTTCACCGAATGAAACCAATCAAACAGGCTTTAATTTACTAACTTAGAACCCCCCACATACGAGTTCTTTTTAAATCACCCAAAAAATGGTCAAATACCCAGATTTTAGGCAATCATATATCGTAAAATGATCTAACTTTCGGAACCAATCAAGCGAAACAAAAAATGAAAAAGAAGGGGATGATGTTTGAAACCTGGGCTGGAAAAGAACCAAAGAATGATAGCGCAAAGAACGAGAACGAGAGGGATGATGTGGATAGCGTTCTCGGCAGATCTAAGACGAGACCTTTCTTTCTTGGCGGGGTGTGAGAGGGGATTGTATGTGGGCAGTTCTTGAGGGTTCAAGGGAACCGTCTCTGAGCTTTGTTGCTTCGAACTCTGTGATTGGGATGGTGATGAGTTGATGAAGAACTCGTCTGAGACTCTGGAACTGCTTGATGATCGCTGCATCTTTGGATTCTTTTCTCTTTTGATTCAGACAAACAGAGAGATAGAGATTCCCCAAAGATTGAAATGAAATCTTGGGTCTTCGTTCGGGTGCTGACTGAACGCCTCACGAATGGAGACGGTTTTTGCTAGTTAAGGCGGTGATCCAATATGACAAAACCATCCTTGAGCTTTTTTACTTTTTTTTTTTCTGGATAAATTGTATTTTTTAAACGAAAATTTATAATTATTTTTTCATCAAAAAAATTTATAATTTTTGCCTGACGAAAAAATGGGGTTACACAATTTATTTACACTTTTAGCCTAAAAAATTTTGTAATTGACAAGTAATATCAATCTAAAAATCTCATTTTTCAATAAATTTTAAATTCCAAAATCCAGCATTTAAGTATTTTGCTTAGATTATATTAATACGTATAATTTTTTTTCAATTATTTTTTTGTCAAGAATTGATTGTTTGAGATTAATATTGTAGAATTATTCACGTATACAAAGAAACAAATTATTATTCAGATTTTTTCATATGACATAAAATAATAATTTTTAGTTCATGGAAATGTTTCCTCTTTCTAAAATTTTATGTAGGCTTATGTAAAAAGATACTACACGTATTGTTAGGTCACATTGTTGTATTATTTAAGCAATTTTAACAGTTTTTGTAATTACAAAAACACATAGTTTCCTATTATCTTCTAATACTATTTTTTTTTCTTCGTCCAAATAATGAAATCAAATTAGGAAAATTATTCTGAAAACAGTCAAAAATCTCTTCCATTCATTCCATCACATTTTTCATATATTTTTGCTATTTAAAGTAAACGTTTTAAATAAGATATTAATTTTATTCTTATCTTATAAAAATTTTAATTTTTTAATTAAATAAAAATAAATATTAAATTATGACAATTATAAATATGAATTGAAATTTTTATTGGATTAAATACATATACAAATAATATAATATTTTTCTCGTATCTATATTTTATATAATATAAAAATTTTATTAAATAATATAAATTATTATTTTAATTATTTAAATTAATATATTTTTATTTTAAAAATATATTTTTTAAAAATTATATAAATATGTAAGTTAAAAATAAAAAACTAAAAAAATAAATGTTTTAATAAAAAAATTATTCACATTAATTAAATATCATAAAAATTAAATAATTTAATATAATCGTTAAATATAATTATAATTATAATTATAATATAAAAATTAGAAAAAATATATTTACCTACTTTTCTACTTGACACGCAGCCGCCATGTTTGATTTGACCTCACTATTGAGGAAACTAAAACACGCGCCTGAAGTGAGCATTGTAAAAAATCTTCGTGAGGCTCATACAAAAGGTGAAAGATAAAAGAAAAACATTGAGCACCATATGTTTGTCTCATTCTTGCATTGGGTGTTTGGTTATTGCTTGATTGCAGCCACTCTGGTTTCCGAACGGAGGGCGCGTGGCTGCACGAGTTAGATTGTCAAAGGTTACTTCATGCGAAGACAATTAACACGTAAATGAAGCAGCAAGGAAACATCCTGCTTTCGGTTTTCATTTTTTTTTCCATGAAAAAGCAAATTAAATGTTCTGAAATGACTCAAATATCCTTCAGAAAATAATTAATTATAAATCAAAATAATAATTAATAAATTAAAATTCCAACAAATTTTGGCTTTTTATTTATTTATAATAATTTATAACAACAATACACCAACACGTACGCTTTTAGCTTCTTGGATTTCTCCTTCAATCTCACGGTAACAAGAACTCCCTTTCTCTTTCGGTGGCGACGGTGTCAAATCACCGGTTATTCTCGCGGTAAGCTCTAATTTCTCAGTCCACCGTCATCTCCTCCGACTTCTCGTGATTCAGTTTATTCTAACTCGTCGCCATCATGAATCCCGAATAGTAAGCTCCTCTCTATATATATTTTTCGAATCTTAGAAAAAACCGTTAATTTTTTTAATTTCTTTTAGTTGAATTTATGTTAAAGCAGTCGTTCTTAATTTATTTATATGGATGATGGATCTGCTTGTTTAAATTTTCTTTTGAATTAACGGTTTTTGATTTTCCCTAAAATTACTTTGTTTCTCTCATTTTCTTGATTATTGATTGGCTTTGTGAATCAGATCCGTTTGGTTTTTTTATTGAGATCTGTTTATCTATTTTCTAGCATTAGACGTTAGCTAGGAAATAATAATTGTGGCTAAATTTGTGATTTACAGGAGTGATTTCTTAAGTTAGGTAACAGTTTATGGAGAAATTTAAGATATTTAAAAGAAATTCAGGCTTAAAGATGGAAATAATGAAGTAATTATTAGCAAGGAGCTAATCATCTTCAAAACTGCTAGGGACAGAAATTGAAAGCTTGATTTCTTATTAGCCTTCATTGGATGTATTCTTATATGTTGAAATTTTGATTTTTTTTTTAATATTTATTTTGAATTTTGTTTGTTTGTGTTAATGGCAGTGATTATCTGTTTAAGCTTTTGCTTATTGGAGATTCTGGTGTTGGGAAATCATGTCTACTTTTGAGGTTTGCTGTAAGTTCTTGGTCCCTCTTTGATTTTCATGCTTTTTGATCTTAGCTTCGTGATTTGCTCTCTTTTTATTCACTGAAAAGGTTAATGCTTTTAAACTCTTTTTTTTCTTTAATTTTTGGGAACCAGGATGATTCATATCTGGAAAGTTACATCAGTACCATTGGTGTTGACTTTGTAAGTTCGTCTCAGTATTTTTATAGCATTGGTTTGTTTATTTTAAACATGTCAATGGTAATTTAGTTTTCAATGGTTTTTCCATATGCAGAAAATCCGCACTGTGGAACAGGATGGAAAGACCATCAAACTCCAAATTGTAAGTCCGTACATTGATTGGCTAGCTTTTCATTTGTTAATCGGGGTTTGAATCTCCGAAGTTATGCATTTGGAATCCATACTGCAATTGTGGTACACCCATTATCTTTCTGCTTTAAGTGGGCTGTGTTCATTCTCTCAATTCTATTCAATTCTAATTTTACGAATTTCTTTGTTTAGAAGTTAAATCCTTTTTTTCTTTCCGTTGGAGTTTTTTGATACAATTTATACACTTAAGAAAGCTGCATGATTGTATCTTTTCTTTTGATCATTGTTGATTTCTGATTGCCTTTTTCATGCTTGTCTCTGGATATGCAGTGGGACACTGCTGGCCAAGAACGTTTCAGGACAATCACTAGCAGCTACTATCGTGGGGCTCACGGTATCATAGTAAGTGCCAGATTTCATATTTTATGTGTTTTTCCCCCCTTATTTTTCTTTATGCAGGATTAAGCTTATCCTTCTTACATTCTTGGTAGGTTGTTTACGATGTAACAGACCAAGAGAGTTTCAACAATGTCAAGCAATGGCTAAATGAAATTGACCGCTACGCCAGTGAGAATGTGAACAAGCTTTTAGTTGGGAACAAGTGTGACCTAACAGCAAACAAAGTTGTGTCCTATGAGACAGCTAAGGTAAACTGCTTGCACATAATGTTGAAAATTTATATAGCTTTAGTTATTAACTAAAAAGGTTTAGGATTTGCATCATTCATGACTTGTTTTCTTTCTGCAGGCTTTTGCAGATGAAATTGGGATTCCTTTCATGGAAACAAGTGCTAAGAATGCCACTAATGTTGAAGATGCTTTCATGGCCATGGCTGCTTCAATCAAGAATAGGTACTCTTAACTGATGTTTTCCGCATTTAATTGTGAATTGACGCACACATGCACACACATGTATGTCAGATTGGCCCTCATTTTTGAGTTTATTGGTCCTTTTCTCTTTATGGTTGTTTGCAGGATGGCAAGCCAACCGGCCATGAACAATGCGAGACCTCCAACAGTGCAGATTCGAGGACAGCCTGTGAACCAGAAGTCTGGTTGCTGCTCTTCTTAAAGAAAATTAGTTTTAGTGGGCTCATGATGGCTTTGTGTTATTCGTTGCATGTCGTAAAACTAGTCCTACTTAATGCTTTTGATTTGAAGATGGTTCAACATGATTTGCTAATTCTTGTCTTATGTTCAATACTCTGATAAATTTCCATTTTTTTAAATGTATTTGATTTTAAGATTACATTTGTACAAAATAGGAATGATGTTGAAAAACAGTATTTGCCCTGTTCAGTTTCTCTATTATAAGTCACATATTGCCTCATTTGAAAGAAGCTAATATTTTGCGATGAGAATTGAAATTTATATTTTTAACATGATCACGGAAGTTTCTTCTGGAAATTGTGCATCCTGTTTTTCTCAATATGTTTTTAAGTTGGTTTGGTCGAAACTGTAGTAAAATGGCAAGTGCAATAAGCATTGAAATTTCCATAATATCTTCTTTAGTCATTTATCCTGACCAAAAAAATTGTCAACAATTTCTAGTGGGTTAGAAACATGAAAGCACTGGTTTGGTATTTTTCTCCTTCTTCACCTTTTAACGTGACAGATTACGTCGTTTAGGAACAAAAGTATAGTTGTACAATTCAAAAAGGTTTGTTATCGGCAGGAAATTCCCAGGCATGGCCATTGACATTGTCTGCTTCAATTTCTTAACAATTGGATTTAGAGCTTAGGCAAGCCTGTGAACTGTGAACTCCATCAAAGTGATTTGAACCAACAGAGGAGTGAAAAAACATAATTTCAAGCACTTCCAATGAAAGGAAAATGCTCAAAAATAACTTTCAAGGGAACCACGTAAAACCTACCAGTAATCACCGCAAGAGCAGCATCCATCATTAAAATGGTGAATCCTAACAGTATCCCTTACTTACAATAATCTTTCGTCTTTCAATTGCTGATACGTACTTGATGAGGCGGTGGCCGTCTCCACATACTCTCAAGTTTTTCAACAGTCTGATTGGGGTCCCACAAGTTACTTTAATGAGCCCAATGGCAACTGCCAGTTTTTCACTATGCCGTAATAACGGCTGTGCTTTCTGTTCTTACCCCACATCATGCGATGCAAATTCAAGATCTGGAACACAACCTGCCAACTTCATTTTCTTCTTCAATTTTTTCATGTATAGAGGCTAATTCTGGGTGCACCCCGTTAAACTGAACTCGTGAACTACACTATTGATTTCAATCCAGCTACACCCAGGTGTCTTTAATACCTTTTTGGCTTTCATTGATTGGCGAACCGCTAGCAACATGGTCCCACTTGTTCATTGCTGCATAATATCAGCCGGTCGCACATAACCAGCTGCACTTTTCGGATCAAGATTAAGCAAGTTATAAGCTGCAAACTCGGCCATCCCTCAGTCGTAATAATGACCCATGTTTTCTAATTTTTAAACACCGAACCCACCCGACCCCCCCCCCAAAAAAAAAAAGAAAAATAGGTATGCATGCATGTTAAGGAAAAGACCATGGGTAAATTATCTAAAATTTACACTCAAAAACATCAAATGGTTTCCAATAAAGTCATCATTCCTCAAAACCTTTTTGACTCCTGAATATTGAATAGATCACAATGAATTCCAAGCAAGTGAAATCCATTGTGTAGATTGCAGTCGTGGATCTCACTTGCCACCCAAGGAGGGAAAGTGGCCAGGATCTTCAATTGAGGGGGCTGGCACATTGCTAGCTGTGTTGCCACCATATCCACCTCTAGGACCACGGCCACGGCCTCGACCACGCCCGGGGCCATAGTACCTCTCCCCTTCCGCAGGCTTCAGGAACTCATTGATGCTGACAGACTACATTAAAACAGCATTCATAGAGAATTTTAGTAAGGGAAGAACATAACGTGACATGTACATCATCAGCACCAGTAACAGCAATAAGGTTGACAACTTCATACAAAGATACTTTTCCCATTCATCAAGGAATGAAAAATCAGAAAATTCACATTATTATGCAATTACATAACAATTAGAAGTATTTATAAAGAGATAAAAAAAGTTTTACAGTTGGAACAGAAAATGATCTGTTCATAGAGAAGAGGCAATTTTTTCTGAGTTATCACCCCTAAAACAACCAACTTAAGTTAATTTGTATATAAAAGAAAATTAGCTTGAAGACAACCATTGATTCTCAAATGATTTTGCAGATTCATTTGCATTTTTGCTGAGCGGCCATTGTGCTGTCAGACCAAAGGAGAAATAGGCATGGCCTAAACCAGTTACAGTTAAAGGCCAAATTAGCTTAAACCAATGACATGCAAAAGGAATATCAAAACACTACTCAAACAGCCAATAACGATGAAAGAACTAAACTCAATATAAAATGGAACCTGAGATTCATTTCGAAAAGGAAGAGGCATATTCTACTTAATTAAGCAAAAAAGTTCAAAGATGCATCCACTCTTCGTTAAACAAAAGTAATCACAATATGAGTCAAACTAGTAAGGAATCTTGGTCCAATGCAAAAAATATGCGTACAAAACAACCAAATAAGAAAGTTAGAAAGGTACGATTGCATGTCAGACCCACATCTATCCAAAAGAAGCAGTTAATCAACAATAACAAGTGAGAAAAATATGCAAACCTTTTTTACTTTTTCTTCTTTATCAGCATCTTTTCGCTTGTCCTTTTCAGAACCCTAACAATCAAAAGCTATGTCAATATACCAGCATAAATTTAGATGAAACAATACATACCAACAGAAGAAAGTTAAGAAACCTTACCAGTTTGATAAAGATGTCATCATTAATCTTCTTTGAAAGTTGTTGCATGGACTCAAACTCTTTAGCATCAACTTTCCTTTCTTCAGTCTTGAGGGCAAGGAAAGCTTTCCGCTTTTCCTCAAGAATCTTCTCATATTCTTCCAAAGTCATCTCCTAATATAAATAGAGAAAGAAGTACACATTCAAAATTAGAACATTAACTTCAAGCAATACTTATTAAACCAGGCAAATCCAAACTAGGTTGATTATTTTATCATACTAAAGTTAATTTCATTAACCAAAGAGGAAGCATGGCCAGTTCTACCATTCATAATTATTGAAGATGAATGTACCAATTATTACCTAGTTAAAAGAGTATTTAATTAGTATGAATAGGCCCCACAACAGGATGGGTTATAATTACAGTTCGATCACTGATGCTATGCACTTTTGAAACTATTAGAATTACAAATGGATGTATTGTTGCTAGACACATTGCCCATTACAGAAAAAAAGTTCAAATAGACAACTAAAACAATTCAAGGAAGTTATCACAACACATTCTATTAACTCCCTGATCACTAATTAAACAAAACCCTACCCGCATCTCTAGGAAACCGTAACCTAACTATGATCAAAGAAGTACCTTATTTTCAGGCTCCTCCACAGGTTCAGTTGCCGTGTTCTCCTTGCTGGCATTCACAGCATCTTCCTCTACAAACTGCTTCTCAGTGCCCACATTCTTTTCATTCTCAGGGACATTTTCTTCAGTCTCCCTTATTTTGGCCAAAATATCAGATATATAAACAGTTGAGTTTGTATCACATAAAAAGATACATGTATAAAGCATAAAGGATGAGGAACTTTGTTATGCAGACTGCTTAAAAGATTGGCAAAACAGATACTCACGGAGCAACTTCATCAGTAGGACTACCCCAATTACCACGTCCAGCACCATCGCGTTTGAACTCATTCCTGGTTATGCATAAAGATAGAAAAATAATGTGATAAATGTTTCTATAAAACGGATAACACCACTGAAAATGGAAATCCAAATAAAGAAAAATACTAACCCACGCCCAGTCCCACTACGGCGATCATACTGCCTACGTGGGCGTACCCCTTCACCAGATTCTCCATCATTAGAACCACCTCGATGACCCCCACGGAAAGAACCTCGAGGCCCACCATAGCCGCGCCTTTCTGATTGATTCCCTCTTTCTCCCTCTTCAGAGGGTCTGTACCCTCCTGAATATCCATTGGATTGATCACTAATATTGTAATCACGATTGAACCCACTGCCGCCACGTCCACGACCACGTCCGGTACCACGGCCTCCTCCACGCGCAGACTCATTCTTTGCCTCCCTCACTACATAACAAGGCAAACATGGAAAAAAATGATGCAGGATAAATGTGTAAGCAAACCGCACTTCAATAATGAAAAGTGATGGTCAATAAACCAACAAAAAGTGAACAGAACAAGGCAAAGAGCAAAAAAATAGTTTAAACTTCACATAGATAAATACACGAAATACAATTTTATAGAAAGACAAATTCACCAATTTCTTATATTTTACCTCATTTTCAAAAATACCATGAAACAAAAATTAAATAAATTTTATACCTTTTGGGATCAAAACAGATTTAAAAAACCAAGAAGAAAAGTATAAGTTACCAGCTTGAGCAGGAGGAGGTGGCTTGGTGGGGAGCTTGGCAGACTTAGCCGGCTGAGCTTGAGCTGGAGTTGAAGCAGGAGCTTTCTTAGGCTTTTCAAGCTTTTGCTTCTCAGCAGCAGCAATAAGCAAACTTGGGTCTTCGATATCATCATCCAACAGATCGAAAGAGTTTTTGGTTGCCATCTGTTAAAGAAGGGATGATTCTGAAAACTTTAGGTTTTTTTTTTTTAAAGAAAAAGCAATCCTAGTGTATGGTTAAAGCCATGGAAGTGAATAGAAGTAAAAAGATTTTGGTGTCTCCAAGATAAGCAAATAGAGAAACAAAGGAACCATTGAGATACAACGGAGGTACTCGTAAACCCTAGCCCATAGTGAGAGTAAAGATAACCTTAAAAATCCTATGAATTTGCTAGTGTGTGGGTAAGTTCATTTTAAAACTTGTAGTTATTATATAAAATTATTAAAAAAATTTCAACCCAAAATATTGAAAAAAAATAGTTTTTTTATTCGAATAACTAATTTCATTATTTAAAGAAAATGACAAAATGCTACAACATTTACTGATGCTATACACAATACTATTTAAATTTTTAACTTAAAATTAAAAATTAAAACACAAGAAAATGAAAGAAATACATATAAATTCATTAATATAAATATACAATTTTTACACAATATTTAATTAAATGGATCAGTAATTATGTGATTTAGATAAGGTATTGAATTTTTAATTTTAAACCAAATAAAAAAAAAATGGTTAAAGGGAAAAAGTATAAAAACTGAAAACAGAAAGAAAATATGGGCTAAGAAAATATCGGCTTTAAACCCATTTCCTACTTTGATGTTGATGAAGCAGAAAAAGCAAAAGAGTATTAAATTGGGTTTGATCAGTTATTGTAATTGGGCTACCTTAAAAAGAAACAATTTGTGCTGGGCCTTAAAAAGTTTAACTTGTCGTCCAATCAGAAATCAGGATCATTATTTTATTTTGTGATACATTTTTATTTTCTTTTTTTAGGGGAAATAGGAAATAAATCATTTGTTTAATATAATTTTACAACCATGATATAGAATCAAGAATATCAAACTTCATTTATGATGTTCAAAATGACGAGGGCTTCCCCTATTTTATAAACAAAATAAATAAAATTATTATTAGTAAAGTATTAAATTTTTAATTTCATCTATTAGAATTCAATTTTTGACGTTTATAAATATAAAAAATAAATAAATTTATTTAGTAAAGGTTAATATTTACATATACTTGAAAAATTACTTTTGAAAATTTAAAATTTTGAGTTTCATGCGTATAAAGAATAAAAAGTGAAAAATTTTAATTTTATGTGCGTCAATCTATCATTTATTTGGTTAGCATTGTTTTTGCCATTCAATATTTTTATTTGTGAGTATTTTGTTTTACATTACAAGTAGTGTGGTTGAAAAAAATATAGTATAATCTAAGGTTTTATTTGGTAGGAATGATGAAAATGAGTAAAGATGAAAAATTTATAATTAGTTTCTTAGTTTCTGGCTTAACCATTAAATTAAGAAAGTGTTTGATTTATAAATTTTTAGATTTGGAGAGAAAAAGTGATATTGAAAGAGAAATATATAATTTTTAAGTTTTGTTGACTTAAAGAATCTAAGATTTTTGTGTTTGTTTCATGAAAATGTAAGATTACTTAATAAAACTTTTTACTATATTATCTTTAATAATATGTAAATAATATAATATTTATAAAATTAATATATAAATAACACGTTATTATCCTTAAGCAGAAAAAACACTTGAATTTTAGAGCATGACTATTGACAAGATCTGCTTCAATTTCCTAACAATTAGAGTTAGAGCTTAGACGAGCCTGTGAAGTGGGAACTCCATCAAAGTGATTTGAACCAGCAGAGGAGTGAATAAAACCGTCCGAGCACTTCCAATGAAAGGAAAATGCTCAAAAATAACTTTCAAGGGAACCATGTGAAACCTACCAGTAATCACCGCAAGAGCAGCATCCATCATTAAAATGGTGAAACCTAACTGTATCCCTCACGATAATCTCTCTTCTTTCTATTGCTGATATGTACTTGATGGCGCGGTGGCAATCCCCACATACTCTCAGGTTTTTGAACACTCTGATTGGGATCCCATAAGGAACTTTAATGAGCCCAAAGGCGATTGCCAGTTTTTCACTATGCCGTAATAAAAGCTGTGCTTTCTGCTCTTCCCCCACATCATGCAATGCAAATTCAAGATCTGGAACATAACCTGCCAACTTCATTTTCTTCTCCAACTCATTCAATTTTTCATGTATAGAGGCTATTTCTGGGTGCATCCTATCTCCTGATCTGAACTCATGAACTTCACTATTTATTTCAATCCAACTATACCCAGGTGTCTTTACTACCTTATTGTATTTCATTGATTGGCGAACCCTAGCAACTTGGTCCCATTTGTTCATTGCTGCATAAACATTCGCCAGTTGCACATAACCAGCTGCACTTTTCGGATCAAGATTAAGCAAGTTCTCAGCTGCAAACTCAGCCATTTCCACGTTCTTGTGGGTCCTACAGGCACCCAAAAGGGTTCCAAATATGGCAGAATGCGGCTTGAAAGGCATTCTCTTTATCAAATCTACAGCTTCAACCAGTTTCCCAGCTCGACCAAGCAGGTCTACCATACATGTATAGTGATCTGGTCTAGCTTCAATCCCATAATCCTTCACCATAGAATCGAAGTATGAAACCCCAATATCTACCAGCCCTGCATGGTTGCAGGCCAAAAGAACCGCTACAAAAGTGATCCAATCTGGCCTTATCCCTTCATCCCTCATCTCTTCGAACAGACATAAAGCTTTCTCACCTGCACCATGTTGGGCAAAACCAGAAATCATTGCATTCCAACTAACAACATCCTTCCGCTTTATCTCAAGAAACAGTTTCCAAGCATCATCCAGCACTCCACATTTACAATACATGCTAATCAATGAAGTACATGCAGTTGTATCATCCCGTAACAAAGACTTACAAACAAGCTGATGAACTTGTTTCCCCAACGGCAAAGCAGACAATTCACTACAACCCAATAAAACACTACTCAAACTTGAATGATTCGGCCTAATACCATACCTTAACATCATCCTAAAAAGTTTTAAACCATCCTCAGCTCGACAATTCTCCACATAACCAGCGATCATAGCATTCCAAGTCACCAAGTTTTTAACTGGCATTTCTTTTAACAATCTCTCAGCTTTTTCTATCTGCCCAAACTTCATACACCCACTTATCATCGCAGTCCAAGCCACCACACTCTTCACAGCCGCTAACTCAAAAAACTCTACAGCCAACTCCAACTCCCCACATTCAACATACCCAGAAATCATTGCACTCCAAGTAACACTATTCTTCTCCGGCATTGCCAAAAACAACTCCCTTGCTTTCCGCATTAGGCCCTTTTGAGCAAAACCGGAAATCATTGTATTCCAAGAAGCAGTATCCTTAAAGGGCATTGAATTAAAGAAAGACCAAGCTTTTTCCATATCAAAATTATGTACATAACAAGACAACATAATATTATACGAGACAGTGTCTTTTTCAGGAATTTTATCAAACAGTTTTTGGGCATCTGTTATTTTCCCGGGTTTTTTTGAATACGCAGCCAAAATTGAGTTCCAAGTAACTGTGGATTTAACAATCATGTTATTGAAAACTCGGATAGCGGAATCTAAATCACCAGATCGAATATACCATGAGATAATCTTATTTGAAGAAATGGTAACATCGTGATTATGTTGATCGAAAGGTGGAGATTTGTCAAGAGAAGGGGCGGTGGGGTGTTTCCTTGTTATGTTATTGGTGGGAACCAACTGGGGTCTTTGTGGTGAATGGGAAGAGAAATTGGTTGGAATAGTTTCGAGGTTGGGATTGGCATTTGGGTTTTGGATTGTGAAAGTGGAGAAAGGTAATTTAAGGTGTTTGGTTGGAGGAAAAATTTTGAGGAAAGGCAAGGTGGGTTGGTTTGTTTTGTTTCTCAGATAATATACATTTCTCATGCTCGGAAAGAATAAAAAGGAAGCTGACGATGGTTAAGGTTGTACTTCTAAGCTGTCCTGTAATAAGGCTTGAGTTTTGTTTCTTTGGATTTGTTCAGCAACAGACAACTGTTGTCCAATATCTCTACTCCGCCGTTTGGTTTGTATGAAAGAAATTACTCTTACCCGACAGACAAGAATGCAAATGAAACATAAACTAAATGAACTGATTGTTATCGTTACTCTCTCCACTCTCCACTGTGCGAATAGCATCTTTATAAGATTGAAAAACGAAAATAGGGAAAAAAAAAAAAAGAGTCAATTTATAGTATTTCCACATTTTTACCAAAAATATGTTTTCTCATTTCGAAGCCAAATTCTCAGTTCATAGCACTGCCAAATATCAACGATACTTTAACCTTAATGATCAATTGCCATTTCTTGGTAACCTAGCTTATTCTTCAATATACCAGACTTAAATAGATAATTATTTTTTAGAATGAAAAGATTGATTTGGTATTGAAAATGTGCAATAACGAGGAAAACTTGCAGACTGAAGAACGGAGGCACGACATCATTCCCCCCACCATCGCAGCCAGGATGGAAAAGGGGGAAGTATGAAGCCTGTACAAGGTTGCTATACATACATATACCGCACTAAGCACCGAGGAAAGCTTAATGTCATTTAGCCTTTCGCTTTTTTTTTTTTGGTTGAAAAAATTTTAGTAACAGGAGATTACTCATCTCCAAGATCAAGACAAGTCACCAATCCAATTGAAATTTATAAATCTATTAAACTTTTACTTGCAGATTTTTTAAATTTATAAATTGTCTACCAACGAGAGATTGTAAGGATTTAAATCTGAATGCATTAACACCCAACATTCACCTCTCACCACTTCCGCCAACCCTCATCGGCTATTATTGCCTTTCACTTATATTTGCAAACATAAATAAAACACCCCACCTTGAAGCCAGGAGAAACTCCTTTATTTTTCATGAAGCATCAGATCATCAATAAAAAGAGATTAAAATGATAAAATAACAAGAATGCAATGTTTCAGACAGGACCAACTAAACCATCTTAATCTACGCCGAACCATAACTGGTGCACTACTTCTCAGTCGTAATAATGACCAATGTTTTCTAATTTTAAAACCCCCAACCCCAAAAAACAAAAAAGAAAAATACGTATGCATGCATGTCAGGACAAGACCATGGATAAGTTATCTAAAATTTACTCTCAAAAACATTAAACGGTTTCTACTAAAGGAAGTTATCATTCCTCTTGAAAAACTTTTTTACTCCTGAATGTTGAATAGATCACAATGAAATCTGAGCACGTGAAAACCATTGTGTAGATTGCAGTGGTGGATCTCACTTGCCACCCAGAGAGGGAAAGTGGCCAGGATCTTCAATCGAGGGGGCTGACACATTGCTAGCTGCGTTGCCTCCATATCCACCTCTGGGACCACGGCCACGGCCTCGACCACGCCCGGGGCCATAGTACCTCTCCCCTTCGGCTGGCTTCAGGAACTCATTGATGCTGACAGACTACATCAAAACAGAATTCATAAAAAATTTTAATAAGGGAGGAAGAACATAATGTGACATTTACATCACCAATAACAGAGGTTGACAACTTGATACAAAGATACTTTTCCCATTCATCAAGTAAAGAAAAATTTGAAAATTCACATTATTATGCAATTACTTGAAAATTAGAAGCATATATAAAGAGTTGAAAAAAGTATGTATGACAAAGAAAAGTTTAAAATTTGGAACTGAAAGTGATCTGTTCATAAAGAAGAGGCAATTTTTTCTGAGTTATCACCCCAAAACAATCTACTTAAGTTAATTTGTATATAAAAGAAAATTAGCTTGAAGACAATCATTGGTTCTCAAATGATTTTGCAGATTCATTTGCATTGTTGCTGAGCAGCCATTATGCTGTCAGACCAAAGGGGAAATAGGCATGGCCTCAATCAGTTACGTTAAAGAACAAATTAGCTTAAAGTAACAACATGCAAAAGGAATATCAAAACACAATTCAAACAGCCAACAACGATGAAAGAACTAAACTCCATACAAAATTGAACCTGAGATTCATTTCGAAAAGGAAGAAGCATCTTCTACTTGATTAAGCAACAAAGTTCAAAGATGCATTCACTCTTCGTTAAACAAAAGTAATCACAATATGAGTCAAACTAGAAAGAAATCTCGGTCCAATGCAAAGCATATGCATACAGAACAACAAATAAGAAAGTTAAAAAGGTATGCTTGCATCCAATAAAAAGATAAATGTCCGACCCGCATCTATCCAAAAGAAGCAGTTAATCAACAATAACATGTGAGAAAAATATGCAAACCTTTTTTACTTTTTCTTCTTTATCAGCATCTTTGCGCTTGTCCTTTTCAGAACCCTGACAATCAAAAGCTGTGTCAATATACCGGCATAAATATAGATGAAACCATATATAACAACAGAAGAAAGTTAAGAAACCTTACCAGTTTGATAAAGATGTCATCATTGCTCTTCTTATTTGAAAGTTGCTGCATGGACTCAAACTCTTTGACATCAACTTTCCTTCCTTCAGTCTTGAGGGCAAGCAAAGCTTTCCTCTTCTCCTCAAGAATCTTCTCATATTCTTCCAAAGTCATCTCCTCATATAGATGGAGCAAGAAGTACATATTCAAAATTAGAAAATTAACATTAAAAAAAAAAAACTTACTAAACGAGGCAAATACGACTAAGTTTATTATTTGATCATCCTAAAGTTAATTCCATTAACCAAAGAGGTAGTACAGCCAGTTATAACATTCATAATTATCGAAGATGAAATTTATCCAATATTTCAACAACGTAAATTCATCTACCAATTATTACCTAGTTAAAAGAGTATTTAATTAGTATGAATAGGCTCCACAACAGCTTGGATTATAATTACAGTTCAACTATGATGCACCTTGAAACTATTAGAATCACAAATGAATGTAATGTTACTAGACACATTGCCCATCACAGAAAAAAAGTTCAAATAGACAACTAACACAGTTCAAGGAAGTTATCACAGCACATTCTATTTACTACCTGATCACTAATTAAACAAGGAGTAAGATTATTGGGGAAATCACTGGAAATAATTTTGTTACCCCCCTACCCGCATCTCTAGGAAACCATGACCCTAATTGTGATCATAGAACTACCTTATTTTCAGGCTCCTCCGGAGGTTCATTTGTGGCGTTCTCCTTGCTGACATCCACAGCATTTTCCTCGCCAGACTGCTTCTCAGTGCCCACATTCTTATCATTCTCAGGGACATTTTCTTCGTTCTCCCTTATTTTGGCCAAGATATCAGATATATAAACAGATGACTTCGAATCACATAAAACTATACATGTATAAAGCATATAAGAAAAGGAACTTTGTCATGCATACTGCTTAAGAGATTAGCAAAACAGATACTCACGGAGCAACTTCAGCAGTAGGACTACCCCAATTACCACGTCCAGCACCATCGCGTTTGAACTCATTACTGGTTATGCATAAAGATAGAAAAATAATGTGGTAAATGGTTATAGCAAACGGATCACAAAACTGAATCGAAATCCAAATAAAGCAAATTACTAACCCACGCCCAGTCCCACTGCCGCGATCATACTGCCTGCGAGGACGTTCCCCTTCTCCAGATTCTCCATCATTAGAACCACCACGGTGACCCCCCCGTAAAGAACCTCGAGGCCTACCATAGCCACGCCTTTCTGATTGCTTCCCTCTTTCTCCCTCTTCGGAGGGTCTGTAACCTCCTGAAAATCCATTGGAGTTATCACTAACATTGTAATCACGATTGAACCCACTGCCGCCACGTCCACGACCACGTCCAGTACCACGGCCTCCTCCACGCCCAGCCTCACTCTTTGCCTCCCTCACTACATAACAAGGCCAACATGGAAAAAAATGATACAGGATAAATGAGTAAGCACCACACACTTTAATAATGAAAAGTGATGGTCGATAAACCAACAAAAAGTGAACAGAACAAGGCAAAGTGCAAAAAAGAAATTTAAACTTCACATAGATAGATACACGGAATACAATTTTATAGAAAGACAAATCAAATCAATAAAGTTCACCCAATTTCGTTTTTTTTTCTTGAAACAAAAATTTTAAAAATTTTATACTTTTTTTGCTTGTTATCTTCAAAACAACAGAAAATCAAAACCGATTAAAAACCCAAGAAGAAAAGTAAAAGCTACCGGCTTGAGCAGGAGGAGATGGTTTGGAGGGGAGCTTAGCGTACTTAGCTGGCTGAGCTTGAGTTGGAGTCGAAGCAGGAGCTTTCTTAGGCTTTTCAAGCTTTTGCTTTTCTGCAGCAGTAATAAACAAATTTGGGTCTTCAGTATCATAATTCAAGAGATCGAAAGGGTTCTTAGTTGCCATTTGTTAACTGATGATACTAAAAACTTCAGCTTTTCTCTTTCTAAGAGAGTCTTAGTGTATGGTTAAATCCATCAACACAAATGAAAAAGAAAGAATCTAACTTTAGTGTCTGTAAGGTAAGAAATTGTGCAGAAAAATAAAAATAGGTGGGATGGGTTCATTAAAACCTAGCCAGCAAAACTGAGGCTAAACCTAATCAAAAAATCACTATGATTTTGTTAGTGTGTGAGCGAGTTTATTTTAAGACTTATTATTTTTTAAATAAATTAAAGATAAACTAGCAACATTTTCATATGTTGCACCCGGTCCAAATTCTTTTATTTGTATTTAATAATATTTTAAATTAATTTAATAAATTAATATATATAATTTTGTTTATAATTTTTAATAAAAGTAATTATTAATAAAATTTATTAATTAATTAATGGATAAAGTTGTATTTCATTTTTATAATTTATATATAAATCAAATTTATATTTATTCTTTCAAATTTATCTTTACAAACATTGTTAAAAATATTAAAATTAAAAATTAAAATTAAATAAAAAATAAAAAAATATCAAATAGTGTGCCACGTAAATATTTATCTTTAAGAACGATATCAAGTCAAGTAAAAGTAGGTTTATATTCATTTTAATTCCGAATCGATATCGAGTCATTATTTTTTATATTTAATCTTGACCGAACATAAATAGATAGATAAATATATTAACTTATATCTAGCATCTAATTTAACTTAATAAAAAATAAATTTAATAATATAACATTTATAAAAATATTATTTTTTAATATAAATTATATCTTAATTATATATAAATATATTATTTTAATAAATTAAGGTATTAAATAATAATTTTATCAATATAATACATATATAAATGTAAATTAAATAATTAATAAAATATATATTCTTATATATACCTTATAATGGGATGAAATAGAGCATTCAAAACTCGTTTCCAATCATATCAATTTAAAAAAAAAAAAAAAACCACCTCACAACTACCCGATTATGATTTCAAAATAACAATCTCTATTGAATGAACAGATTAAAATTTATTGTATAAGAGTTATTCTGGCATCATAACCTTCATTAACCCCATTTCTTACAACATTTATCTCATGAAAAATGAAAAAGACAAAAACCAAAAAAAAAAGTTAGAAAAGGAAAAAGAAAAAAAAATAAAGCCAAATAGATATGTCACGTTAATTACCTATTTACTTTTTCAAATATAGATAAAAATAGTAAATTAGACAATTAGAAAACAATAAATGATAAAAGAAAGCAAAACAAACAAACAAACAAAAGAGCCATTAAAAAAGCTCAAATAGGGATGTCACATAAATACTTTCCTTTAAAAATAGAAACAGGCGAGCAAATTTATACTCATCATAATTCTGACTTGATTTTTTAATAATTTAATTTGATTCAACACTGAGTTATTATTTTTACAACCAATCTCAATTTGACACATAAATTTATAACCCACATTAATCAAAATTTAATTAAATGATGTAAATTTAGTTAATGTTCATAAAAAAATTTTAGTATAAATCATATCTTAATTATGTATAAATATAATGTTTTTATTAAATTAAGGTATTAAATAATAATTTTACTAATATAATATATATTTAAATTAAAAAATGATAAAAATATATATTTTATTTATATCCAAATTATATATATATATATGTAATGGAACAAAATATCTTAAACGGCTAAATCTGTCTAAAACTTGACTTTTAATTTAAAAAAAAAAAAATTGACTTGATATTGAATTTTTTTAAAAAGCACATGGATCGAGACAACTGAAAAGAGACATGAATTATTTTATCATCTATATCTCTATTGAATTATTTTTTACAAATTTTATTTATTTAAAAAAATCAAAAATAAAAATAAAAAGCTAAATGGATGTGTCACGTGGACACTTACATTGGCTTTATTTTCTTACAAAATTCAACATATAAATTAAAAAAAAAACTAAAAAAAGGAATAAATAAATAAATCCGGCTGCCACGTTAACACTTTCATTTGTATCATTTTAAATTTATCTAATTTAAAAAATAAAAGTATTTGAAAAAAATTAATAAAAAATATATAATGAATCCCATAATTTTTTAAAACAAAAATAAAATTATTTAGTAAATATAAAAATTTTAAAAATAAGGAAAAATAAGGAATGAAAAAAAAAAATTTAAAAGGAATTTATTGGGTGCACATGACCCTCATATGAGTAAAATTTAATGTATAAATGAAAAAAAGTTAATCAAAGTAATAGTGTGATATGCAAGTTTAATAATGAAGTTAGATTTGTTGGGTAAGTGTATAGGAAAGAAATATGGATGAAAAATAAGAGATAAGTTGATTCATGAAGGAAAGAGAATAATTTAAAAGGAAAAATTACAAAATGACATGACTTAATATAAATATTTATTATTTTATATCATAATAAAAATATTTAATTACAAAATTTATTATCTTTTGTATTAAAAAAAAGAATTAGTTAAAAGAAAATTTTAACATAAAAAATTAATAAAAATGTAAAATTAGTTGACAATTACAATTTGATAAAAAGCTCGAAACTTTAGGTTATTAATATACCCAAGAGAAAAAATATTAAAATAAATTAACTATCAATCATAACATTTAAATATACATATTTGTCTTAATTTTTAAGTGTTATTGACATATGTATATTATAAAGTAGTTATACATACTTTTTAATTAAATATACATATAATATACTTTGTTTGCAGATATTATAATTTTAAATTAAATTCAAAATTACGGTAAAAAAGCAATTAAATTGTTTATCAATTTAAAAAATTAAATTTTTCATTAATTATTTTTTGTAATAATAGCAATTGATAAATAATTTTATTATAACATCCTACTTTCTAATTTTTATAAAAAATATATTTTTATGTCAACTATCTGTGTTTAGAACAAAAAAAAAAAAAACAAAGGAATTGAAAAGGTGAGAAACATTAATACATAGAGCAATTAAGAGGAGGTTAAAGTTGGATCAAACTTTGCATAATTAATAATATGAATTTTAATATGCAAAATATTTATTATCTTTTGTATTATAATAATAAAATATAAGTAGCCATAAAAAAGAAGAAAAATATACGCGATTAGTTGACAATTACAAATTAATAAAAGTTTAAAATTTTATATTTATTAATAAACATAAGTGAATAAATATTAAAATAGATGAACTATAGAGAAAATCTTTAAATATACATATTAACCTTAATTTCTTAAGGGTATAGGTAATTTTATATTTTTTGTTAAGCATATATAATAGGTTTTTGGGTACATATTATAATATTATATTATTGGATAAAAAAGTAATTATATTTTTCATTAATAAAAAGTTGACACTTTTAAGTAATTTTTTGTTATAGCGTTAATTAAAAATAATTTCACTTTAATACTTATTTTATAATTCTTGTTGGAAAAGATTCTTATATTTATGTTTAAAAAATATAAAACAAATGAAAAAAAAAAAAGATGAAAAAGTGATAGGATGATGACACTTATTCATCTTTATATTTAAAAAATATAAAAATCTGAAAAAAGAAAAAAGAAAAAATGAAAAAGTGGTAGGATGGTGACACTTGAAGAATCAAGAGAATGATCAAGTTTTTATTAAAGTTAGTAAAATTATATATATCAAAAACAAGTAACACCCTATAACATTAAAGTTAACAAAAGAGTAATAGATCAAGAAAGTTGCAACCACAAACACACTACATGAAAGGATTGGCATTTTAAGTCCACCATTAATAAAAGTACAACTCTTTACCTATCCTTTCAAATTATATTAGTTATTTGCAAAATAAAAAAATAAAAAAATAAAAAAAACCCAAATGCATATAGATTTTAAAAGATTATGTGAGCTATGCTTTTAAATTTTACCAAAATGATATAGATATAGATTTTAAAAGATTATGTGAGCTATGCTTTTAAATTTTACCCAAATGATATAGATTCTAAATGAGAGTCAAACATTGAACCAGATTATTTTATGTTGAAAACTAAAAAATTATGTCTAACACAGTAACATCCATATTTTTGTCTATACAAATTGTTAGGAAAGTACTAACCAATATATCATTGCCAATTACCAATAAATTTATATTTACTCCATAAAACATTTAAATTAGTATTGAAACAACTTCCTAACTCTATTTGAATTTAATAATAAATCATCCTAAAAAATGACAAAAAAGGATGTACCATAATGAATAGAATTCAATTTAATCAGTGATTTAGAAGAGAAAAGAGGTTTTTATAAAAAAAAAAAAAAAAGACAATTTTGATTTTGATTGCAACATAATTCATAAGAGAAGAGAAAGTTCCCAAAAAGGAAGGTAACATAGGTTTTTTCCAGCAAATTTTCTACAAGTTTGTCTTAGAGAAAAAGCAAATTATGGAACTCAAAAGTCTTTACTTTTGAGCCCAATAATGAAATTTGAGTCAAATAAAGTTCAAAATTGATATATTAACACAGGAAGAAGTAAAATCCCAAAAAAATACAATTCTTCACTTTCACTATTTTTGGCTTATTTTATATTATAAACTTGGTTTTGTAACTTAGTTCTCTTTTTTTTAAGCGAGTTTGGTGTATGTCAAATAAAAAAGAAAAGATGGTGTCTCGAAGATAAGAAATCATGGGGAAAAAGTAAAACATAAATATGCGGAAAGGGTTCATTAAACCCTTGCCAATGCGGCAAAGGCATATGAGGGAGGCTAAACATAATCTAAAAATTCGTTAGTGTGTGGGTGAGTTTATTTTGAGACCTGTACTTCTTTAAATAAATTAAAGAGAAACTAGCAACATTTTCATATGTTGCAACAGATTCAAAATTTTTTATTTGTATTTAATAATATTTTTAATTAATTTAATAAATATAATTTTATTTATAATTTTTAATAAAAGCAATTATTAGTACAAATTTATTAATTAATCGATGGATAAAGTTACATTTCATTCTTATAATTTATATACAAATCAAATTCATATTTACTATATCAAATTTATCTTTATAAACAGAGTTAAAAATATTAAAATAAATAATTAAAAAATTAAAAATTAAAACTAAATAAAAAATACCCAAAAAAAATCAAATAAGTGCCACGTGAACACTTATACTTAAAAATGGCATCAAGTAGGATAAAAGTAGGTTTATACTCATTCGACCCGACATCAAGCTATT